GAAACACAAGTGACATTTATAAAGTTTTGGACGTTCATGCAACACACTACCATAACACTAGTACCCTAAATATTTGAAACACCTTCAGAAAAAGAAGACTGAGGTTGCTAGATTATTATTTATTTAGGGGAGCAAATGTCACTGCCTCAGTCCAGATGCTGTAACTTCTCTAGATCAAGCAGAGTAAGGCCAGTAAGAAGGCAGCATTTCCCTGTGAGGGTTCAAGAAGAAGCAGAGTCATAACTTCTCACATACAGTTTCAGAAAAAACTGTTGAGGTTAAAAATTCAACCAAAAAGCCTCTGAGAGTTTGATGACCCCAGATTGGTGTTGCAGGTTCTTCTAGGATTGTTGCTTTATTTGCCTTGTTACTTCTGCAATGAGAGGGAGAGAGCAGAGTTACTGCCTGGGTTACTGTATGTTTCTCTCCTATAGAGACAAGGGGTTCATGTGAAGAGCATCTGAGAACAATGTCTTATTTTTTAGAACTCCTTGTAACAATATTATGTGCAGATAATAAGTCCATGTGTGTTTTTTGACTAGAGAATGTGACAGCAGTCTCTTTGGACAGTCCATGATCTGGAATTGTAAGTTCTAGAGGTCTAGAAATTAGGTCATATCCCTGTGCATCTCTAAAAGTGAGAGACTGGTGCTGAGCTGCCTGAGCCCATTTTGGGCTCTGCCATTTAGGCTAATGCACCTTCTGTTCTCCCACAAGGGTGGTGGGCTTGGCTGGAGTACCTTGCTAAGGGATGGAGCTGCATGCTGTTTTCTCTGGCTGTAGATGTAATTCAGCCATGGCAGCAGAGATCACCTCTTCAAAAATTTGTATCAAGTCTTAATGCTACCTGCTGTAGTCACTCTGGAAGGAGTTCTGAAGTAGTTCTGAACAAATCCGTACAAACAGATTTATCTTTTCATTTGCTTCCATACCAGTGATGCCATATCTGTCAGCATAAGCAGATGTATTTGGATAAAAATACCTCTCACACAAAACAAGAGGTAAAGAACCTTCCCTGTTAACTAATTTCTTTCATAAGTGATAGTGGAATTGTTTTTTCCTCCAAAACTTGCTTTCAGAAGCTCAGATCTCCGTATATAATTTGATTCTTAAAGAAAGAAAGCTTTTAATATTTTCTGAACTTGTTCTGATATTTTCATTGGTGACCATTCCTCCCAGTATGGTTTTACAGATGCAGTCCCCAGGAACTTAATTTCTAGAAGCTGTTCACTTTCTTAATAAGTTGCTGTTTGCTACCTGTACTGTTCATGGAAGCAAATGAAAATACAAATCTGTTTCTAAAACATTCATCCATTACTTACAGTAAAAGTAGATGTCTCTAATACTTCAGAAGATATATTTAACTGTTACTGTCTGGCTGTATATAAGGCAGTTCCTTTCAGCTGCTTTTGTTTAGTTAAGACTTGTACTTAAAAATGTACTTCACAGTATGACACTGTTTGGGGGTGTTGCAGTGCCTTTTTTTTATCCTTGAGTTGTATGTTAGTCCTGGACATTTTTTTTTTCAAGTGGGTTTCTATTCATCATCCAGAGCAAGTAACAAAGTTTGAGAGGATGAGTGGTTTTTGTTCAAGCTGGCCCCATTAATGAAATGTTAAATCAAAGGATTGTGTCAAGATGGTGTCACATCAGCAGTACAGAGAATGTCACTGTACCTTTTCTTTTCCAGTCTTCAGATCGTTTTCTGCTAGTATTAAGATGCATGTAGCCATGCCTATAGTTTGATTTGTCAGTGAATCATCCTGGCATAATCCACCATGGCCACAAAATAATGCGTGAAATTCAAGAGGACAGTCAAAGCAAGAAAAATCCTCTCTAGATATGTAATCCGAAGATTTTTTTAGGTTGAAGTTAAGAAATTAAATCTTAAATTCTTAAGTTCTTAGCTCTCTGTCAGAGAGCTGTAGAGGGAACCAAAAGTTAATGATATGAAAAAAAGCTGGGCAGAGATTAGAAAACAAACAAAAAACCCCTAATCAGTTTTTGACAGAAAGAAAAGGCTTTCAAATATTTGTGTTTGGATTTTAATGAAAAAGAGATATTACTCTTTTGAAAAAATATTTCACCATTGAAGCAAAACTTCTTAAATGCTGCTCATATTAGTTTGAGAGTGAGACAGTTGAAATATTTTAAAGATACTATGGAGGGGTTTTTCTTTACTTGTTTTAGAATGTGAATTTTCTGGTCTCTTCTGCTTTTGGATGAGAAAGTCATGAGATGTCCAGTTATAATTTTGAAATTACAAAATCCATGTTTAATGATGACCAGTTCCAGTGTGTCACACAGCATGCTAGTGCTGCTTTGACTGTGGGTGCTCTCTAGCAAATTTTAATTTAATGAAGCCTTTTTCTTGGACACTTTCATTGTTATTCTTTTCCTGCACTCTCAGAATGAGAAACCTAAAAGCTTTAGTTATCTTCAGTTATATCTGGATAACAGAGGTCTGTTTACTTCTGCACATTGCTGTCATTGTCTTGAGTTTGGCACTGCTTTGCACCAAAAGATGTCAGTGTGTTGTTAACAGTTACTAGACTGAAGATTAAACTACAGAGCAGTTGGAAACTGGAGCAGCATTTTTTTCCCCCCCTTGGAGAAAAGGAAAACTGTGTAAGACTGTCAGCACCTAAAGATAACTCTTGTCCATCTCCACAGAAGTCTTATTCAGAGCAGAACTATCTTCCAATATGTCTCAATGAAAACCCAGTTCATATAAAAACTCAAATGTAGATGCCTTGTAAGAGGTGGAAGAAAAAGTGTTGTGTGTATCATACTTTGCTTTATTGCATCCCTATTGTTGTTAGAATAATCTCATGCTATTAAAGAATAACCTAAGAAGCTTACACTGTGTAAACCAAACTGAGCTCTTGTTTTTCTTCAATTACATTGGATTACTAAATTAGAGAAGATTAGTAAAATCCTTCTACACTAAGAAGCTTAAAAATGGAAGCAGATAATTTATTTTAAAAAAAAAGTAATTTCATACTTGTACAGGCAGAGTAGTGTGCATGAAGTAGATTTTGGCTTGTTTTTAGTTTTGAGTTTGGGCAAAGAACCCTACTGTAATAGGAGAAGAACGGAGTTGTTAGTGAGGGACAGAGTCCTTTTGCACTGACAGAGGTTTGGCCTTTGTTTTCAGGATTTCCTTTCAGCACTGAAGCCAGGCTGTTCTATTCTCCACTATGAATTCAGTTTTGCAGTAACAAATGATGTGGTGAGTTTCTGGGAGCTGAATGCTGAGACCAAACCATATTTATCTCTCTTAGCTGGGAGGTCTCAAAACCAAGAGCAAATCTCTCCTGTGTAATAAAAGTCTTAGGTGGATCAAGAGGTCTCACAATAAAGGTTCACATGTATTTTTATTAATTATTACAAAACTCTAGAGCAGAAAGCCCTTCATTTCAAAAATGAAACAGGCTCTGCATAAAAATGCTTCTTAGTCACTTTTGTGACAAAAATAGGAAAGTTTTTTGGCTGCAAAGTTTTAAGGGCTGTCATTCCCCTGAAGAGTTCATACCATGATGCACAACTGATTTCAGTGTCAGGAAAATGAATTGTTCTCTGGTAATTCATGACATCAGGAAAATAGTGTATCTAAGGATGTTTTCAAATAAACTTTTTTGCAGCACTTAATGTGGTTCTAAACAGTGAATGCTTTTTCTGTAGCAACTGCTCGTTACTGCTGTTTTAGTTTATCTGCCATCAGTCTTTGCAAATGTTTTTTTTTTCTGTTCCATCTCAGTCCTGAGCTGCACAGTTTTCTCCGTGCTGGAAGTTTGGCTGTAGTTTTGTTCAGCAGAACTTTTGTGTTCTATCCCTCACATCTGCATGTCTTCATAGCAGCAGCCAGCTCACACAAGATGTGGTGTGTCATTCTCTCTCTGCCTTTGCCCTAGAGGACGTGCCTGAGTTACCAAACAGTGGACATGAACCAAGGGCTGCTTTGGACCCCAGCCATTTATGGCTGCATTAAGCCCTCCTGCTGCAGGAGGTCTCTCTCACACACACACTTCACCTATTAGTCAAACAGTATATGTTGTTCATTGTTTATAAAATGTGTATCTGCCTGGTTGTTTCCTCAGGTTTAGGGGGGTAGTTGTTGATTCACAGTGAACTGAAAAAGGTAACAGTTCTGCAACCATTTGACTCCTAGGAAGTCCTAGGTGAATTCTGTCAGAAGCTGTAACTGTGTTCCCTCATTCTGCACCTGATGAGGAAGGAGGCAAGGGTGGATGGAGAGCAAATCTTTCCATTCTTCTGGTGCAGTTCCTGAAAGAATCCCTGGTTATTTGGCTTCTGAAAACCTGTGTGTTGAATATTCCATTGTCATTTTTACCTTGGTGACAGCTCGAATTGTGGTGCTGTTGCTGATGATTTACTTAAATATTCTCCTTGTCTTATTTCCACTGTTTTACTACAGTAAACATATGACCTGTTTTTCTTCTTGTAGTTTCTGCAGTCTATGATTCTACCCTTAATTTTAGAAATAATGAAAATCCAACATTGCTGGGAGTTCTAAATGGAAAGAAATATCACGCAGATTTATACGTAAGGCAAGTAATCCATTTTAATTTTCATTTTTAGCAAGAGTGTGTATTTGAAATCACACCTGGTCAAATAAGGGAATGTTTTCAAGGGGGTAATGGGAGGCAGATCTCTACCAACCTTTGTTCACAGAACTTCAGATAAAAATTTGTGTGACTTGGGAAGTGTTTCTGGTGAAGTTCTGTGATTATAAATGTGTGAGGAGCCCATAAATGTCTACAGAACTTTTTGTTTGTTATTTTTTTATTTGTGTGTCTGTCAGCTCAGCAGCACTGGGGCCTCTTTTCATTCATTCAACCAGAGTACCAAACAAAAATCTTAAGTGTTCAGGTGGAGTTGCTTTAAACCTGTCTCTGACAGAGGAGTTCCAGAGATAGTTCCAGTTCCTCCGTTGGAGGTCAGACTCAGGACTTCCCCACCTGGTGGTGTCATTGTTGATGTATTTGACAGCTGCACCCTCCCTACCAAGAAAGGGTTGTTTAATGAAAAAAATACTACCTGGATTCCTTTCCATTAAGGTCTCTATGAACTGCGAACACCCTGATGGCTTCCCATGATCTTAATGGGAAAGAGCCAATTCCCAGGTGAGGTTCTACCAGCAGCTGCTGTGCTATAGGCACTCAGGGCATGTGATGATTTAGAGTTGAAGCATAGGAGTCTAGAATTGATGCTGTAAGTGAGCAGGAGTTCATCATAACCCCTCAAGAGCTGTTGTGGACCAGTGAGCTGGTCCAATTGCTTTATCCTAGATAGCAACATGAAGTGGAATAGGGTGGCCTTTTCTTTCTATTTCTCCTTTTCTGCCTGTTTGAAAAAGGTTTTTTTTCAGAACTGTTTTTATCCAGGGGTAAAACAAAAGTTTCTTTTGATTCCTCTTCCCACGTGGTAGCTCAGCCTGGTGTCCTGTGTTTGGTGTACATGGCCTGGCTGGATGGCATTCACAGAGCCCTGCCTGTGGATGTCAGCTCCAGCAGAGCAGAGAGGTTCCTCTTGCTGGGTCTCCCTTTGCACCATTCCAGCCTCCTGCAAGTCAGTCTGGCATAGCATGGGAATTGCTTTTCACAGCTCAGGGTTGCTGCTTGCCCATACCAAAATGCCATTACAGGCAGGGTAAACCTCATGACTAAATTTGTTTTGGCGATTAGTTGGGGACTATCACGGATTTCTTAAAAATCTCCTCTATATTTGCTTGCTGAAGTGCTATAGGTGTTGCACAAGTAAAAAAAAAGATGAAAAATGTAGTGAGTCTCCTGTCAGATAATATGTCTGTATAATGCTGTTCATGAAAGTCAAAGTATTCAATATTCTTCAATTTCTCTTTTTTACCATTGGCAGGCGGATTCCACTAGAGGATATCCCAGAAGATGAGCAGGAATGTTCTACCTGGCTCCACAAACTCTATCAAGAAAAGGTTGGTTTTTTTGTCAAGACAGCACTTGTGAGCCACTAGTGCTCAATCATTTATAGTGCTAGTAGACATTTACAGTGTGCCTGTGTGGTGTCCTAGTTTGGAGGCTTGGGGTGAGTTGGTTTGTCTGGTTTTCAGGGTAGGTGCTGTGTTTCTGTACATCCGAACTGATCTTGTGCTGCCAGTCATGATTGCTTTCATTTTCTACATAGAGCAACAGGAAGAAAGGTTAAGCAAGCCTTTCTAGAGCAGTTTTAAGCCTCTTCTTTAGAAAGTTGCATAAAGATACAAAAATCAAAATTGCCTTACTGCCTTCTGATTGGTAGAAAGACCCCCTTCTCCTGGAAGACACCTTCTAAATAAAGGAGTAAATTTGTGGGCTAAATAAGATATTTTCTTTAGTGTATTAGAATTTTTGTCTTTTGTTTTACCCTGCCTTTTTTACCAAGGCAGACATCCAGCATTGGAAGGACTGGCTGATAAATTGTTTTCACACTGTGGGTATAGATGGCATGCATTTAAGATTCCTATTTTCATAGGATGGGGAGAGAATAATAATGATTGTGTTTGTAGATGCCCAGTTTTTTCTTTGCAAATGCTTTCATATGAATCCTTCAAGTCTTACAGAGTCTGTTTCTTCTGGGCTGTTTTTATGAATATTGGAGATAGTTGTTGGGGGATGTGCTTTCTGAATGCACACAGCACTCCCAGCTCAGTTAGTGGGAGTCACAGGTATGCACGGCATGAGGGCCTGGCAGCTCACTTTGCTTCAATACCTTGATCAATTAGGTATTCACACTGGAATGCAACAGTGCTTTGGATTTAGAAATTATAGAATATAGCTATGCTCTTGATTTCCTCTCTCTGGGACAGCAAAATTCTGCTGTGCCATTTGTCATGCTCTTCTCAGGACACCACATTAGCATTTCTGTATCAACAGTACCTTGGCTGTTCTCAGTTTCAAACCATGACTCTTTCTGGTATAATTCATAGCTCCTCTAAGCAGCTTGCTTACAGGAATGTGGAAAGTAAATGTGTCTTGAGACCTCTCTTGTAAGTCTACTGCCTTTGCCTCTGATCCCCCTTCTCATAGTTTGTGCCCCTAACACCCCCCAGCAGAACATCAGGGTGTTACCATGGGCCCATGTACATGCAAATGGTCCTTTTGTTCAACATTGCAGAAGTCCACTTTCTGCTACTATGATGTTGTAGCCCTGCTTCATGTCCCTGAGAACTATTCAGATGTTTGCAAGACAGGAACGTAAGTGTGAATGTGGTGATTGTTTTTTGAACCCTTTATTACATAGTTACAGTAACTCCAAGATTTTTTTTGCTATTCCCTCTTTGGCAAATGCTCAGTTGCTTCTAGTGCAAACAGAGTGTACATCTATCCTTCATAATATTATATTGTACAATATATCATAGTATTCTTCATATCTGTTCCTCATGACAAACTCCTCGTGACAAACAGCAAACTTAATTTGCTGGTTGGTTAAGTCTCTAGTCTCCTATTTAAGTACAGGAGTGAGGTTTTGCATGTGGGAGTGAAGTATGGTGTGCTCAGTTTTCCGTTCCACTAAAACCTTTTTTGGTTATGTGAATGGTTTTGATTGATTAAGGCTGGGGGGGGTTGTTCGTTTGTGCTTTGGTTTGGGATTTTTGGTGATGATTTTAGTTTTTCTCTGAAGGTAGCATGTTTCTCTTTCTCCATCTGTTTTACTTTAGTGAAACTTATTTCATTGCAGTCATTCCTGGTTTACTGAAGCCCATGTCTTTGTAAAATCAGCCTGGCAGAATATAGAGCAGGGACAACTTCCAGAGTTCTGAGATGAGGAAAGCCCACCTGCAGAGTAAAAATAGAATTTTATTTCAACTTTCTGCCCTGCATCTTAAAAAGATAATAGGTTCTTAGGTCGGATTACAAACATCAGTGCTGCCCAGATGCAGCACAGTTTCCAAAAATTCTGTTTCAGGTCATCTTCAGAGTCAGAAAATATTTATGATATAATCTAAAAAATTTTTATTCAAAGGGCAGTAACTCATTACAAGATACACACTCATCCCTGCTTTTTCTGTTTTGGTTGCAGCACTTCACTTGCTGTTTCAAAGACAAAATGTGCACGGTGCTGGAAAGCAGAGACCCTTTTTTAACACACATTATGGTTCCCTGTGCTCTTGTTTATTCTCAATAAGTTTAATAATTTTTCAGTAGTTTCTCGAGACTCACAGTGTGCTGAATTATGCTGTAGTAGCATGATTTAGTGGCTGGAGACTGCCACAGGTGCTGAGGTCAAGGCCTGTGCACACAAGATGATCAGGATTGCAGAGCTGTTGGAATGAGTAATGAAATCAGCTGTTACTGGGCTTAGAGGGACTTTATTTATTTTATTATTATTTTTTATTTATTTTCCTATATTGACATTAGTAAAGGGGTGAGGGTCTTTGAGAAAAGTTTATTCCATTGCTTTTTACCTCCTTTTCTTATCTCACCTACATATACCTCAATCTGAGATACTTCTCTCTGGGAGCCTGTCGTGTTTATGTTCTTGCTACTTATCACTTCATTTTTTGGCTTAGTCACTGCTACAAAGGCAGTTGTAGAGAGTCCTGCCAGATAAACAGCAGCATTGTGCTGCTGCTCTACAACAAACACTGTTCTCCTTCCTTTTCCAGGCTTACAGTAAGTACCACGTCCACATGCTTCTTCTTCACCAGGGGTAGATTTTTGTCCCTTCACATATGGCCAGCACTATATCAGTTAGTTCCAAATTATGACAGAAGTTCAATTTGGGCTGCACATTGCCTTTTGGTTTTGTTTTTTTGGTTTTTTTTAACTGCCATTGCTAGAAAGGCTCCCTTTGACTTTAACAAGGACTAGGTTGAGGATCTTTTTGCCAGGTCTGAAGAGGTAATATGTAGTAGTCATGATTCTGCTAGTCCTTGCATGTTTGTTTTCTTTTTTTACCTCCTTATAGCCTCAGTGCTTGAAGTAGAAGTTCTGCTTTGGAATCTTAATTTCCATTAAAAAGAGAGCAAACTTCTAATTCTTCTTGCTTGTAAGAGAAGCTTGGAAAATAAGGCCTGAAAATACATACAGAAAAGTCCTAGGAAATCAGCAACCCCTAACTGAAGAGAAGTGTGCAGAACTCCAGTGTTTGGGAACAAAGAATATATTTTTGGATACTCATTCTTTGTGTGCTTCCTCACAGAGGGGCAGTGGCATACCTCTGCCATCAGATCTCCTGGTGGGAACGGGAAGGAGAAATCCAGTTAGCCTTTCACAGGGAGTTGGAAGTTCCCTGATTTCCCCTCACTGCATTACCCCTCCACTGTCTGAAGTAACTTAAATTTGGTGGGGGCAATAGAGGGAGCATGTTTCCACATTGGAATGTGATACCTGCGTGGATGGAATTTATTACAATCTGAAAAGAAGCTCTGTAGGCAGAGGAATGAAAGGAACCTAATGTGAGGTGATTTTGGGAAATGGTGAGGTGTATTACCTGTTTAAAGCCTGACTTGTTGCTGGGTATCATAGGCACCCTTGTAAAAGCTTTCAAGATAGGTGAACCCATAGGTGCCTTTTGCAGGTGAATGAACTTATTTAAGGGTAAGGAACCGTAACTGAAGAGCTGTTCCCCACAACAGTGGGAAAGGCAGCAGAGCTGTTGGCCTTGACATTGTTTTGCCTTTTGTATTTGTTTTCCGTCTGCCTTAGGCCTCTCAGTGAGGTGTGCTCTGGTTTTGCTGCCCCTCATGCCGTGCAGAACCAACAAAGAAAACCTTGCTGTGCTTGTTTCAAGCGAGCCTGTCTTGCTCTCTGTAGTAGCAGGCCCTCTAATGGCAATGCCAGCAACAGTCAGGAATTCTTCACTTTTCCTGGGTAATACCAGTATTTGGAAACCTAACTGTATGTAGTAAACTCAGTTTACTGATGATGTGTTATAGAGCAGTCTTCACTGCACTATGAAGAAAACTTCATATGCTCTGAACTCTGTTGAAGGTGGTTCAGTAATTGGTCACAGTGATCCCACTACAATCCAGCTCACATGAGTTAAACACAATTTTTGTACTCTCAGTAAAGACAATGCTTCAGTTATACTTTAGTTACTGCATAATCCCTTAAAGCCTGGATGTTCACTTTGAAATAGAAAAAGTGGTAACAGCTTTTAATTGCTCAAGCTGCTATTAAGTAAGTCAAGAATTGTTTGTGTCAGCCAGAGTATAAGTAAATGTAAATTCATAGCATAGTAGATAAAACAGTATTTTGGTTGATTAGTCTTGGCTTTCCTAGAATTTTTAGAAAACAAAAATCCTTTCTTTAAAGAAAAATCATATTTCATTCTGACATTTTTTATGTCAGTCTAATGCTGACTTCATTAATTAACCATTTTTTTTGTGGTAACACAGATTAATGGATGACAGATTAATAATCTTTGCTTTTGAACAAGGAGGGAAGGGGTTTTTCCCCCCATCCACTTTTGATGTCTTGGGTTGATGAGACCAGTAAAGGCAATGCTATTCACTCATGGGGGCTATGGAAGAAGGTACGGATTTCAAAATCTCCTGTCCTTTGAGAAACAGATGCTACAAAATAGAAAAAAACAACCCCCACCCCATTTTTCTCCTTGTATTGTACTTAAAGGTCGAGTCACTTGCTCAAAGCCAGGGAGAGATTTTGTACTGTTTACTCATTGAACTGCCTGTAGGGAGGTTCAGCACCCAAACTTCCTACCACAAGTGTCATGGGAACGGTGTGGAACAAGACTACATTTGTGGGACAAGGACAGGATGGGGTGGTGTTCTTCGGGGTGTGGGACAAAGTGGTGCCTGGTCACCTTTTCTGACAGGTTTGTGGGGGATGTTTGAGAGCAGCAGTTGGAGAAAACAAGAGGGAAAAGAGGTTGCTGCTGAGTATGGAGCCCAGAGACTTCCCTGGCTTACCTGCAGTGCTTGTGCAATGGCTGTGGCTCCTGCAGGAGGTTCTGCATTGCTGCAGGAGTGTACAGCCCATCATCCCTCCTGTTTTCCTAGGCTGCTATGCTCTCCAGGTATGCCATTTTTCAAGCTGCTGTGTGTAGGAGAAAGGAAGTATTCACACATCAGTGTATGCTCACCCATTCTTTTCTTTCTTTTTTGTTTTTTTGTTGTTTTTTTTTGACTGTGTTCATTGACTTCAAAGTACAAGCTTTCCAGCCATCAGCTGGTCTTTGATCTTCCCTTGTGGTTACAAGCCTCCAGAAGGAGAAACATCAAAGCCAGGAATGGCTAGTTTTGTTAGCAGATGGGGATTTAATTGTTGCCCTCCTTTGTTCTCCTAGGATGCATTCCAGGAACAGTATTACCGCACAGGAACCTACCCAGCAGTCCCTACAATACCACCTCGCCGACCATGGACACTTTTGAACTGGCTTTTCTGGGCCTTATTGCTGCTATATCCTTTGTTCAAGCTGCTCATCAACATGATCAACAGTGGGTCATCACTGACACTGGCTAGTTTTGCATTTGTCATTATAATAGGTAAGTTTTCTGATTCCAAAAGATTACTTACAGGGTAACTGTCCAATAGGATTTACCGAGATTTGCTAAATACAAAGATGGCTTGTGAATTCAGCAATCCATCTAATATGTCCACTCTAGCCTGGACTAGGCTAAAAAGATTCCTTTTTTTGTTAATTTTTTTATAGTTGTACTATTTGTAGGAGCTGTGTACAAAATTTTCTGTTTCTGTAGAACTCAAACAGTGACTTCTCAGTGGGTTGCCTACAAAAGGCTTTCTTTTCTTGTGTGTTGCTGTGTTCTACTTTAAATGCTTAGAAAAGAGGCACAGGAATAATTTATTCCTTTGAGAATGCTTTTGGCTAATTATATTCTGATATGTCAAGCAATGGTAATCCATGAATTCATGATTTAAGCACAGCCTGTTGTGGCCATCTACTCTGATTTATGTAGCACAGGGCATGGACTGTCACAGGTGATTCCTACAGTTCCTGTGGCAGTTCTGAACTGTCTTGGTTCGTATTTCAACTAGTATGGTATTTAAGAGCTGGAAGAAAAACAAAACAAGGAGCTGGCTCAAGGAAGGGGAGGTAGATCTTATTTGGTGTTCTTCATGAAAGCAGGAACCAGGTCAGTTTAGCAAATTGCATCATATCTGGGTGTCTCTGATTGAGTGCTGGTTTGAAGAAGTTCCATTCCAGAATAAGCCATACATTTTTTAAGCAAATACTTTCTGTGATTGCATTGACCATCACAGGTATTTATGACTTCATCACCTTCACATCTGTGTGTATTACAAAAAAACTTGGAAAAAGAAACAGAACTTCACAATCTTCTCGACTCTGAGAGAAGTTGGATATAGAGCTGACTTAAAATGCTGTGTCCAGAATGGCAACACAGAGGAGACAGGAAAATGTGGAGCATTTTCTTGTCTTGGAAGTTGATCTTTTCTCTCTACCCAGGAAATTGTTCCTAGCACATAACATTTCTTTGCATTCTCAGAAGTCTGAATCTTGAGCTAGATTGACCAGGATTAACTGACTACCATCCTTTTAGCCATCTGTGAAGAGTTTGATGTGGGAGGCACACAGTATTCTTTTTCAGAAACTGCCCACCAAAACAAATGCTGCATTAAGCTCCTGCTGATGCTTCTTATAGAGGTAACTAGAGAAGGAACAACTTGTTGTGTGCATGGAGGTAGGAAATTTCCTTCATGATGCTTTGAGCCAGAGGAAGGAAAACAAGCAAGGATAAAGTCCAGAATAATAGTTGGTATATTAGGTGGGCAGGGTAGAGGAAAAGAGAAGGGAATCCTGAGTTCTTGTCTTCATCTGGAGAAATTGTTGGTGTTTGTTACCCACAAAATGCTTCATGTAAAATGTGTAAGAATTCATTGGAGCAGCAACTACAACTTAAAAGTCTTTTTCCACCCACCTTACTTGTTGGAAATCACAAGCAGTGTCCCCTTCCCCTTCTCTGACTGGTGAAGAGGATGGGAGTGTAGAGTGAGCGCTGTGGTTGGGATGTGCTGGGAATGGGAGGCGGTGGGTTCAAATCCCTGTCACTTGCAGAGAAGGGTGGATCAGCCTCCCCCATGCTCCTGTGCAAAGTGGATAAACAGCAGTGGGTGGGATGAGGTGTGACACCATTGCAAATGCTACTGCCTGGCAATTTGCTCAAGAGGATATTTGTTCTGCCATTGGAAGAAATGTTGTCATAGTCTGTTTGGTGCTGGATTGTGGAACATAGGCCTAATGGTGTGCTGAAGCATAGCTGTTGCAAAATGGTTTGAATTTCTCATCTTTCCTTCAGCATTTTCCTCTTAATTCAATTTCTCCGCTCAGCAGACTGGTTGGTTGGGTGCCATTTCAAACTGCTTCATGCCTTGTGTAGCCTCCACAGGGAGCCTCACACCATTATTCAGGGTTTCTGGAGTTCAACCTCAGGGCTGACTGCTTTCCTGCTTAGTATTGTAGTATTTGTGATGGTTTTGGACTTAGCCCTTTATAATTGAGCTGAGTGACACCACACATCCTCCACCCAAAGCCTAATACAATCTTGACATTAGTGACCTAGGTCATGTCTTTTCTCTATCAGGAAGTGAAAGAAAGAACCTGTAAAGGGAAAAAGCCATGATACTACCAAGAACAGACAGCAAGAACAACCTTCTTTTTGTTTTTTTCCCCTTTTCTTGCTGTCTTACTTCCCACTTATCTTTCTTCTGCTTTTAGCCACAAGGAAAGGTTAATAAGCAGGCTGCTTTGAGTCATCTCTTCAGTGCAGTGATATAATCCAAAGGATTTATTCTCAGGTTATCTGTAACACTAGAGCTACCAAAAGACTACAGCAGCAGCCTGCTGCCAGAATGAGCAGCAGCACTGGGTGAGCTCCAAGGCTGCCAAAGCCCAGCAGAGAGCCCCTTGAGGGTGTGAGATGTGCATTGGTGCCCCATACACACCTGCCCCACCCATGGGCTGGTGCAGTTTACAGCCCTCTGCTGCCTTTGCAGCACCTCTGTGCTCATTCCACTCGTGGTGGAACCAATCCCAAGGTGCCTGCAGTGGCCTGGGATTTTCCCTGCAGTGGAGGACCGTGGTAGAGGCTGCTGCCTGATCAGACTCAGCCACCTTTTGCTGATGAGCAGGGAATGAGAAAGATGATGTCACTTACGAGCAGACAGCAGCCTCTGTGAAACTGTGGAGAGAAGAGAATGCACGGGAGTGGAAGAAAGGCTCAGCCATTAGTCAAACCAAACAAAACACAGAGCTGGTTTTTCCTGGTCACTTAAAACTGGATGTGTCATTATGTGTCAAAAGAGCAACAGTGACCTTAGTATGTTATAGTCTGTTTCTGTTTTGCCATACTCCTTTAAAACCGATGTTACTGCTCATTGGGAGTAATTGGTCAGTTTCTGTGGAAGCAGGAAAAAACCTCAGCTGGAGCTGTCACATTGACTTTCGTAGCCAACAGCTGAGTTTCTGTAGCAAGGCCATTCTCCCCTAACTGTGTCCTGTATCCTAAGGGGGATCTCTGTCATGAATGTTCTGGATGTGGTGCAGCCATCTACAGAGGAGCAACCAGCATTTTATTCTGCAGTTTGTCTCCAGCTTTAGGCAAGGGCTCCAGAGTGACTCCTGCAGTGGCTGGGAGACAGCAGAGCATGGGCACAAACGCAGCTTGGAGGCTGTGGCAGCTGGAGCTGCCTGCCCAGCACAGCCAGACCATAGGAAAGCTGGGAGGATTGTGTTTGCTCTCTTTACAGTGAGAGGTAATTGCTACCTGGTGGCTTAACAATGTAAAGGGAAAGCTTTTTGTAGACTGGAGGGATTTATCAGATGGCAAAATCTGCTCTCCCCTTGCTCCTAGCAAACCTTTTCTCACTCTAACTGAAGCACATGGGTAGTGGTTTGGTTTTTTTCCATGGCACCAATACTCCAGAATTCAGGAACTTTACTGCAGTCCCTAATAGCCCATTGTAGTAGTTTGCTGGTTTTAAGGGTGGGTTTCAGTACCTGATACAGGTGCAGATAAGCACAAAATAAACCTTTTGTGATAGAGCAGGGTAACTAGGAGGTCCTTTTACCTGGTACCCTCTGCATTGTTTCTAGATTGTTGTTTTGTCCTTTGGATAGTTTCTGCTTATTGTAGCAGAATTTATTCTAAATTCTACTATTCTATATTCTAATATCTAAATTCTACTATAATTCTCCAGTAAAACACCGACTGGCTTGTAAGTAACTGGCTGTTTAGGTGGAAAGAGCTGTAAGAAAGATGTTCTACTCTGTGGAGTTGTACTCTTTGGAGCTGGAGTGGAAGGATGGTAATCCCTCAGACCCTAACTCTCAGATCTAAGAGCGAATAACCAATGTATGTACAGTTCTGCTTGGTTCAGCTCAAATTCTCTCAGCCCTAAATCAATGATATTTCTTTGTACTGTGAATGCTGTCCCCTCATGCCTCGCTGTGCAGCAGTTTGGCTGTTTGCACCCTCAAGAGTCACCACACAGTTGGGTACCTTACTGCTGGCCTGGGCCTGGAGCCCTTTGTGATATTACTTGAATCAATACAAGGCAGTCACTGCTCCAGAGGAGAAATGCTTAAGTAGTTTCAGGGACAAAAGTGTTTTGGAAACCAGCTTTAGTTTCACAGGACACAGGGCAAGAGATTTAGGTGCTTAGCTCACAACAATTATTTAAAACTTGGTGCTGATATTTTGGTGCTGAAGCAATGAGCTTGTCTGTGGAATGTCAGTATTTCTTATTTGACAGCAGCTTCTTTTCTTTCTCCTCCTGCTTCCCCAGTCTCATTTGGCTTCAAAGAACAAATGTTGGGTTGCCTTTCATGTTTTGATAACTTGTGTTGAGGAGGACACCCACCCTTCACGCTCTAGAAGTAATTTATTGTAAAGCTGTCAACAGCAGTTAAAAAGAGGAATGTATGCAAAAGATGAGAGGGTTTTCAAAGGGAGCAGCAGCTATTCCAAGTTGAATGCTAAAAGCCTGGTGGCACCTGGGCTGGTGGCACGGGGCCAGCAGCTACGTATCAGTTGTAGGCGAGAGAAGTGTTCCATCTGAACCATGTGCAAGTGGTGATGAGCCAGCTGGGATCCCGTGGGAGCTGCAGTGTGTGTGCTGTGCTCTGGGCCTGGGAATCACACCACAGAGCTGGGGACTTGGCAGTGCCCAGGAGCAGAGTGTGGACCACAGGGCTGGAGCACCATGTGACCTGGACAGCAAGGCTGGCAATGCCTGCAGGCTGAGATGAATGGAAGGGGAGGAGGGGACAAGCCAGCAGGGTTGTAGTAAGTTTTACAACAGGATACAAAGCACGTGCAGGATCGTGCCTGTGTTACTCTGCCTTTTGGTGGAGCTGCCAGATACTCTGGCCTTTCAGCCTGGTGCCTAGAAACTGGGGGTTTGGGGTGGGTTGTTTGCTTTTTTTTGTGTGTGTTGCTTGTTCCCTCTTCTTCATAGTATATAGGATAGGCCCTCAATGGAAATGTCTACCATTCATACAGTCTTTAGTTGTACAAATCTTAATGCATAACCTATATAACTCAAGTGCAAACTATATGTGGGAGATCTTCATGCCCCTGCCTGCTGTGCTGCTTATAGCACTTGCTGTATGGTATAAAGGCTGGGCAACAGGTCAGAAAACATCCTGAGGTATAAGAGAAAAGGTGGAAATCCTTTGAGCTAAGGTTTTGCTGAGGTATGAGATACTACATGTGGAGGTGGTGGTTTCCTTGAAGCCAAAACGTGTCCCAGGAAAGAGATTATGGCTCTCTTGATTGTGTAAACTCAGCCCTCCTTGAACCCCCAGCACTCCAGCAGGCAGAGCAGGTCCTCAGCAACCTCCTGCATCTTTTGGATGCTGAGAAATGGTGGGCAAAATGATGCAGGAGCTCAGTTATCTCAGTTTGCTGTGGAGTAGTGCAGGGGTGCTTCAGCCAATGGTTTCTCTCATGGACTTCTCAGGGTGGTCTTACACCACCCTCACAGCTGTGAAGTTAGGCACTGCTGATGAGTTACTGCTCGATCTCCCTTTCTCCCCATTTCTTGAAGTAAAAACCCTAAAGTTCCCCTTATTACAGTTGTATGTAACACCAAAAGTGAATAAACCCTTAAATGTGATGGTACTGCTCAGCTCTGCACTGGGGCTCCAGGAGAGCTGTGGTGAGGAGGCAGTGCAGGGACGGACCAGTGAGGCAGCCCAGCCTTACCCCACTGTGCTTCCACACGCTTGGCAAACACGAGCAGTCCTCTTCTCCTTGCACCTCACCTTCCCCAGGGTGCTGAGGGCTACAGGGTGAAGTGGGGCCAGAAGGCAGTGGCAGCTTCTGCCAGGGAGCAAAGGACAAAGAAAAGACATCTGAACTAGTTGTTTTTTGTGTCCAAGAATTCTTGGAACTTGATGAAATCCCCAGTATGATGTGTGGCTGCTGTAACAGTTGCTCTGTGTCCATCTCCAGATGCTGTTTCTATGCCTTGTGGTTAAAATCTTAATGATTTCATGCTTATTATTATGTTATGATCCCAGACTGCGGGCTACATGTTGGATCTTTCTCTTGTGTTCCCCAGCTCATGGCCAGTTAAATGTCAGAGATGGTTTTCTTTCTTTCTGGTCTGTGTGAGAGTGAAGCCCTTTGCTTGTCTCTGTGGTGTGTGTTTCTATTCAGGGACTGACAGTGGAGTGTCAGTGACAGTGAATGCCCTCAGAACCAGCTCCCTTTCTGGACTGTTCACTGCACAGCTCTCTGCCTGTGAGAGGGCCCTGCTTTCCTGGCATCCCATCCACAAGACCTGAGGGCAGCCCCGTGGGCAGACCAGCTTCCCAGTGTCCAGCCATGCTGTCACATCATGTGTGACTCATCCCTGGTATCCAGTAGCCACTTGCACTCTAAGAGCAGTCAGTTTACTGTCACACCACACAGCACAAGTGTGTGGTGATGGCTCTTTGTGGCCACTGGTGCCAGCTGACAGCCCCCTCCCCTAGCAGTGGGATGAAACTTCTGGATTCTCTTGGTGATCTCAGGCACTGCCTTAACCACAGAGAGTCCTCTGGCTGGTGAGAATTTGTCCAGAGTCATTTTAGAGAAGACTGATGGGAGTGAGACATTTAGAGCACCTCACCATACTGGGCCTTTTCACCATCAGTCAGAAGAGTGGGATTTGGAGGCTTAGGGGAGGTTTGTGGCTTTCTTGGGTTTTTTCGTTTGGTTTGGGTTCCTTTTGTTTTGGAAAGCATTCTGACAGGAGCGAAGATGTTTGTGACTTCCTAATAGGTTTAGGCCTGAAAGAAGCATGGCAGTTCTGAATCCATACAGTAGCTGAGAAGAAGCCTGAGGAATAATAGATTTTGGGCAGCTGAACCCATTTACAAAGAAACCAAAAGTGTAAGAGGAGGAGTTTAGGTTAAGTTGCATTCAGCTTAGTCACTTTAAGTGCTACAGATAAATAAAGAAATTAATGCTTGCACATGGTGAATTATTACCACTCAGTCGTCTGTAAAAGTCTTTTAAATTATCCTGGTTTCTTGTAATTGACTTTTTCATGAGCAAGCATTAACAAATGCCACAATACATGTTTTTTGTTTAACAAGATCTGAAGTTCTCTTGCACGTGCTCTTCCAGACGCAGGGCTGTTGAAAGCCAGCAGAATTCCACAGGCTGTGCACGCCTGTGCCTCTCACACCCATCCTGCTTCCTTGTAGCCTCGTCCCTGCTGATGGGAGGGGACGGGTCCAGCCACAGGCTCTTCCTTCACGAGATGCCACAGGCAAATAAGTCGATGTGGAGGTGTGGGAGCATCAAATGCACCTTTCATCCAAGGTCTCTTTCATGATGCTACACCAGTGCAGATCTTCCCACCTTGCCTCAAGCAGCTTTAACGCTGTTTGTTTGTTTTGCAGCTTCTGTTGGTGTCAGATGGATGATCGGGGTTACAGAAATTAACAAGGGCTCCACCTATGGCAACAATGACAACAAACAGAAACAAAAGTAGCACCTTCAGAGACTGCTTCAATCCAAAGGGAACAAATGCAACCGCTGAAAACTCTTAAGTTCGTATCACGGTCCTTGCAAGAGAGATCAGAGGATGAGTAATTGCCGTGCATATCTGAATTTGTGCTCCTGTTGTTTTTTCTCTGGGGCTTGGGCTGGATGACATGCTGGAAAGATGCACTCCTTCGTGTACTCTCAACAACAGGTTCGCACATGTGTGGTTGGTTTGTTTTCCTATGAAGTGTCTTAAGCTTTGAAGAAAAAAAAAATATTCCAGCGTGCTTATATGAAGAGACTCTACCTGGAACTAACCAGAGGTACAGGCTTTAATGTCAGAAGATTGTTACAAGATGATTAAACTTGATAGTTGTGTAGATCACACAGTTTAACAACCATAATCTGTCAGTGTTTAAATACAGCACAGCGGGATGCTGTGCTTGGTTATAGCAGTATTGGACTGAAGCAGCTCTGCCCAAGTGGCAGAACTACAGTAGAGTTTTTGTACATCTAGAACTTACTCCCACAGTGTGCACTACATGGGCCCTTCGAAACTTGAGCCAGACCCTGGACATCCAGACATCAGAGTCTGGCAGTAGCATAACCTGGATCAGAATTTGGCCTTGTGGCCTGAGCAGAGCTAAGTTACCCACTGCCCTCTCTTTCCCCAGGCCATACATCCGAGGGACAGCTGAAACCTGTAATTCTTCAGAGTAAATGTCATTTTTAGTTTGGAAAAATTGAGGTAGTAAAATTCCTTTTGGCTTTAAATGCTACTTAAAATTCCAGGCCATCCTAGCAATTGTGGAAAGAAAATAATGGGGCATGGTGTAGTGAAATAATGCAAAGTCTGCATTAAAATGTATGCCCCACACCTGTACTGTTGTGATCCTAATTAATCTGCTTGCCTGTCTTTTCTGATAAATTAGTTTACTTGGTGCCTCATAACAGTCAGCCTGAAGTAATAGTAAATTATTTTCTTCTGGGGAGGAGGGGGAATTGGGAGAGAGACCTAGGACTCAGTGGGTATGGCTGATTTTTTTAATATATGTCTTGATTTGATACCCTTCTGATTTAAATAAAACTAGAATCAAGCTCTGAGGAAAGCAGGGTTGCTCTGACATTCCCAGTACTGATTTCAAGGCAGCCACCTCCTGTTTTTAAACTTCCAGAGTTAAGGATCTGAAAGTTAGTAGAAATAAGTTGTTTAAAGCAGGAGGGGCAAAAAGTATAAGAGGGGCCATTAATTAACAGCAAATATGATTGGAAAAGAAATCCCAATTTTTTAAAGTCTGCAGATCCTGACAGTGAGCAGTTGAGGTTGTGATTGACACTCTCAAAGATAGTCCATTTTCACTCGACACAGGATTAAACCATGCTAGTCCCCAGTGAAAAAAGTGAGAGTCTTATTCTAGCAGCTGGTGTAAAAACATTGCTTTTTTTTTTACCATAAAATTGAGGCCAAAAGAAACAGGCTAATACAACAATATGAATCATTCCATGAAATATGTATTTGCTGTTCAGTACATCAGATCATCTAGAAACTCACCTTTCTAATATGCAGGACCTAAACAGCAGGTGAGGTAGTGCTTTTATCATGGAGCACTAAGTGAAGTTTAGGGGTAGTGGAGGCAGTAAAATTTAAAACATGAAGGAATAGGCCATGTGAAGTGTGAGAGACTGCTCTGGGGGCTTTTTGCCTCACACATCTTGTGTACACATCCATCCCCTATGTTCTGAAGCTTTCAGGAATAAGTCGTTCAATGTCACGAACAGAAACACAGGCTCAGATGCAGTTTTTGGAGCCCAAGAGTAGAAAATACTGTAATATTTAAAATGCTGTCTAATAAAGCATTGTGCCCTGCACTCAATTTGCTATAACACTCTTAACAGTAAAAACCTGAGTATTGCATCCCGTAGTAAGGATCAGGCACATTAACACTGTACACAGGAGTTGGAAAATTGGTGGGAGAAAGGAAGGGCCTCTCCAGGGTGACATTTTACTGCAAACATTTCCTGGCAGGCCCAGTGGCCTTTTCTCAGGGTGGTGGGTGAGTAGTTCTGAACAGCAAATACATACTCCTGGAGTGACAGAGGCTGTTAACGTGCAGTAAGGAAGACATTTGGCATTCCTTTTGAATCTTAGTCCTTTCCCCTCCAACAGCCTGCAGTGCCCTTCTCCCAGAGGAAAGCACCAAATGACTAAACACTTCTGAAAGAGTGCAGAGATAATTTCATACCCATTTCCCTGATACCAACCCTTACAACAGGCTGAAGGGCCAAAGATGCCACTCCTGGATCCATCCTCCTAAGCACTTTTGCAAGTTCTGGCACACCACTGAGGCCCTTCCAGCACTCACTGACAAATGGAGAAAGCTTATGGTCCTTGCCAAAGTTAAACTTGTCCAGTTCACTGTATTAAAGGAATGACATAGGTTATTAGGAAGCAGTGTTTGCCCCTCATCCCCACAAGCAACTGTATGTTCTACAACTGCCTTAACAAAATTAGTCTTAATGTTTGTTTATACAAAAATAAAAGTATAAAAAGCTAATATGCAGTGAATGAGTTTTCTTTTGGCTGGCAAGAACAAACTGGTAACAGTTTGCCATCTCTATCCTGACTCCTAAAAGCTGTCTACAGTTCCTGTTTGTGTTCAAGGGCACCTGAAACAAGGCAAGCAAGGGCATAACTCACTCAGATACCTCTGCTGTACCGCAGAGTGAAGCACGCAGCAAGCTGGGGTTCATCGACCTTTCCCGAGGATGCCAACATACTTCCCCCGTCCTATCACACAACTTGAAAATAGAGAACTGGAAAGAAGGGAGAGTTCTTTGTTTAAATTCAGCATTATATTTTTTGAGAGCCTAAATACATGTACAGGTGACATGCACAGCAAGGCTCATACTTTTCTAGATAAAAATGTCAGATTTTGTGGTACCTCCTTGACAGCTCACCCCTCACCTGTGACTAATCAAGGATTTGTGAGATGAGATGACGAGACACTAGAATATAAAACCAAATATTAAAAGCAAATTTTAAGTTACCTATTTTAAGTCTGTTCCTACAACAGGAATGTGTAAACTTGCACTAAGGTTTACAACAGTTTTAAGTCACCCGTTTGTAATAGCAAGTAAAAAAAGAACTAGATCATGCATTGTAGGCTATTTCTTCCAATTGCTAACCACTTCTAATTTCTCTTCCTTTTCTGAGGCTGATGACAACTGGGGTGTGGTGGGGAAATGAAAGCCCAGGATCAGAAGTCAGTTTTCAAAAGGTAGCAACAGTAGGTTCTTGGTTTTGCCAAGCCAAACACAACAATCAGCTTGTACAGTTGTCTTCTAGAAGACAAAAATGCCATGTAGAGCGCTCCCTGTTCACAGTGCATACATTCAAGAAGGAAGTTATCCCTTAGATAAAGGACAAGGTCAGGAATTGCCCATCACCCTCTTTTCTCAGAAGGCAATGAAAGGGGGAACCTTACTTCTCCTGGCTCTTGTGTAAGAAGCATCTCATATCACTCATCTTAAAACTTGACAAAACACTGACTATTGCAATATAAGAGCACCTTATTCAAGTTAGGTCAGCTTAGCAGTCTTATGTGCATAACAAATCCGAAGCTCGCCAAAAACAAATAAACAAAAACCCCAGTAAAAGTTCACAGTCAGTGCACTCAAACGGATTAAAAAACAAGGTCCATAAACGCCTGATAACACTACAGCATTTTTCTGAACCTAGAGAGTTCAAAAATACTACATATTAACAATACAAGTTCTCAGTCAAATGAGAAACGGGAGAAGGAACAAAAAGGGTATGGTCCATATACAGTAGTAATGGCACTTTCACTGAAACATGCAGCTTCTTCCAACTTGCGGACACGTCACGTGAGCAACACGTGCCGAGTAAAATGTACAGGAGCAGCAGAGGAAGTGACACCGTCACTTGTGCAGTCTTCGTTAAGGTCAACTTTTGTACTGTTTCTCAGCACAGTCTTTATGTAAATATTACATACAGCAGTGATTCAAATCTTGTCAGACTAGAAAAGGCCAGAGATTGAGTAACTTCATTCTTCATCTGTGCAAACCTGTGAAGGAAGTAAAAGGCAATTACTTCAGCCATCTCCCTCCTGCAGCAAGATGACGATAATGGATCCATTTCCTTCACATCTCTGAAGTTTTCTTCCCTCCCTTGTTCCACAGGAATGCATTACAGGTGTTTGTATGGGAGTACCGACATTCCCACTGCCAGTGTGCATCCTTTAGGTGCCTAAAGCAGTGTCCACACCTCTGATGGGTGGGATCTGCTACAGCTGTGCTGGTGAGGGATGGGTGATGATCCCAAACACATTGATGCTGAACCAAAACATCAAAGTGATCAACTTCATGCTGGGAAATGACACAGAATTCGATAACCAACTGCACTCCTACTTTTCAAAAAAGAAGTTACCAATACAGCTCAATTGGTAGCTGTGAATATTTGCCTGTTCTTAAGGAAGCATCACACCATAGTTCATGAAAGAACTGCAGACTTTTACAGCAGCTGCCAGATAAAACATTCAGTGTGACCTTAAGTATGAACTTAAAAGAAAAGCAGTCCTTTGCACAGAAGAATGGGAGAGCTCTCAAGCTTGTGCTGTTTTACTTTTTATGAAGGGGGCCCTTATCTTTAAAAACCTGTGCATTTGCTGAAGTTTTTGCTGCGAAGCCCTTCAGAGCCAATTAACTACTAGTAATGAGTTAGTAGTACTACTACTGAGTTGAAGCCTGACTTGTCTTTTTAACATAATGCATTTCAAAACAGCAGTGGAAGTTTATTGCATGGTGCACACCCCATCCTGTATCACATGCCTGCTGAAAACAACACGTGCTTCTGGAAAGTTGCCAATCCATGTTACCTGGACAGCATCAACTTGCTACCAGCCCCTTACCATGGTACCAACCCCTGTGGCATCACTGAGAACAAAAAACCAACTAAAAGCTGTTCCCCATTCCCAGTCTGCAGCTTTTGTAGCCAAAGTCATCAGACAAACCTTAACAAAAGGATGATCGAGAAGCTGGCTGGCCGTCCACCTCATCTTTGGGTCACTTTCCAGGCAGTGGCAAAGGAAGTCTTTCCCTTCTGGGCTCACTTTGTCAGGAATAGGAGGTTTATGACCCATCCCCACTTTATACATGATCTGGAAGTTGTGCTCATATTCATGCCAAGGCCTCTGCAACAGGTAACAGCATTGCTAAGCTAAGTGCAGGCTTTAGTGAGTAACTTGCTACCCACTAGAGCAGGTATTTCTGTGCTCCAGGAAATGAAAAACCATCCCAGTCTTTGCAGACTTAACTGTGACAAACTGCTGAGAGTTGGACCAGAACATGCAGAAGAACTGCTGAGAATAGTTTGCATTTCATCAGTACAGGAAACATCCCTACCTTGCCTGTGACCATCTCTATGACAACACAGCCCAGGCTCCAGATGTCTGCTGCACGTCCGTGCCCTTCTCCTTTAGCTCTAGTGATTACTTCTGGAGCCATGTATGCTTTGAAACAACATAAATGATGTCATCAGTTCATACAGCAGAAAGAACAGTATACATCAAGTGACTGACTGGGTAAACCCAAATGCTTTTTAAAATACACAATGAATTACTACTCAGGTTTTACTGCTAAGTTTTACCATTTGCTGGTTTCTTGTTCTTTGACATGTTTTCAGCACAACTGACTTTCAGTTTGAAAAGTGATCTTGAAAATGCTATTACAGTACATGCTTTCAGTTATTGCCATTTTCTGAAAGTGGATTAAGCAGCTGTTTAATGAAATGTACAGTTTCACTAAGGCTGCAGAGAAAAATACAACCCCGGAAAACACATGCTCCAGCATCTCTATAGTTACAGACAAACACAGTTTTGACTCTCACATTGTATCATTCACTGATTGTTTTGGCTTCTGGATGTAAAGCACAAAACTAAGGTAAAATCAAGTTTCCCTGGAATACATGGGTTTACTTCAGACTTCTGGCAGGTATCTTCTTTTATGGTAACTAGACAAGTACCTGCCTAGCACAAGCTTCCTTACCTGCAGTCCCCAAGGTACTGTTCACTTCTCCAGGCATTGTCTGGGTATTGTTCTTCAACTTCACTGAGCAGCCAAAGTCTCCTAGTTTAATCAGTCCAGATGAGGTAAGAAAGATGTTGGCTCCTAGGAAACACAAGGAAACACAGACATGCTTGTTTAAACCAGAGCTGAATTGAGGAATGAGGGCTTCTCAATATAGCCTTGGAAGTTGCAGAGGATAATAGTTGAATTCACACTTAGATATTTACCTGTGAATGACACGTGGAATATGACAGCATTAAAGATGTTCTGGTGGGTTTGTGCTAACATGAAATGTACGGGAAGTTGACAAGTGTTCAAATAAAACAAAAACCAGTATGGCAGGCAAATTAAACAGCTTTCCATACAAGCTCGTTACAAGAAATGAATCCTTCAGGAATTCCAGTGCTTCTCCTTGAGAGCATTAAACTCAGACGAAACTGCTTCCTGGCAGAGGCCATTGCTGAGTCCCTCGCTCTAGTATCTTCAGTTCTTCTGAGTCAAGACAGATGATACCACACTTGTCAATAAAAATAGTGTGGCCAGCAGGATGAGGGAAGGGATTGTCCCCCTGTACTTAGCACTGCTGAGGCTGCACCTCAAGTGTCCAATTCTGAGCCCCTCACTACAAGAAGGACATTGAGGTGCTGGAGCAAGTCCAGACAGAGAAGGGCAAAGGAGCTGGTGAAGGGTGTGGGGCACACCTCAAGCAGCACCAGAGGAGGTTCAGGTTGGACATCAGGAGGAATTTCCTCACTGAAAGAGTGTTCAGGCATGGAAACAGGCTGCACAGGAGTTGGTGGAGTCACTGTCCCTGGAAGCGTTCAAGATACAAACAGGCATGGCACTCAGTGCCACAGTTTAGCTGTCTGACATGGTGGTTTATCCAAGGTTGGACTCAATCTTGAGGTCTTTTCCAACCTTAATAGACCCTATGGTCACAGCTGACTTAAAACACAGAGTTTACGGCATTTTATTACGTATACTACCAAGTGCCTACTCCTATTGCACTTTACTTCCAGAGTAATTTTTGGAGGAGGACTACCATTAAAATAACTTGCTATATTGTCAGTTTACACTAGAAAAAACTTCCCTAGCATAGTTAAAAATCTCCAAGGGGAATCTGCAAGTGGCTTCAAGTCAGTTGCTCAACACAAGAGTACAAAATAAACTAAAACAAAATAAAACAAGTGGTTTTGACAACCTGTGGTTTTCTTTTCACTCAGCATCCTGCCAAAGTAATTCATTTTGACAGCAACAGAAAGCAGGTAGAGCATAAGGAACTCCTTATGTCAGGCCACATTCTGGACTCTGCAAGTATCACAATGAAAGCACAAGTAGGTTGCAAGTATAACTTGGCAGAAATAGAGCTTCAGCTGTGATCTTTCTTGAGGAAAGATGGATAGTACTGCACAAAACAAACAGCTCACCTAGTCTAGGAAAAGGCAGAAGTTGGGGATTTCACTACACATAGCCTCTTCCCATGTCACACAAAAGATTCACTCAAAATGGCTCATCTCAATAGAACTTTCCAGAGTTTCTCACTTTTGTTCCACCTTGAGCAGTGCAGAAATTCTTGGCTGCTCCTCCTTCGCATTAGTCTTAGTTAATAGCTTTTTCCCATTCACTTGGTTGGGCATCCCCAAGATATTCAGAAGGAATACAAAGAAGCTCATGTCAAAAAAAGGCAGTGCAGATCAATGGTGCCAAAACCCTGCCTCTTTCTCAAAGGACTCTCCGACTACTCTGACAATAGCTGGTAACTATTTAGTCCAAGAGGTGTTACATAGAACTGCAGTTAATGGGTGAGCAAAATCATTGACAGAATCAAATTCCAACTTTTAGCTGCTGTAGACTTTTACAAGTCCTGAAAGAATTAACATCCAGGGAATACAACTCATCTCCACATTGTGTGCAATGGCTTTCCACTTCTGTCATTCAGATCTTGCACATCCTCCAGAATTCTTTCACTGGATTCTGCAGTTTGCCATCAGTGGGACCTATGTTCAGAGTCACCCTGCAATCACAGATGTGTGTGTAATGGAGTTGGGTAGACCATCCCTCAGCTTCTTGAATCCAGAAAGATTGATCCAGAAAGACACAAAGCAGTACAAGAAGTCTGCTTGCTGGGACACTAAGTATGGGCAATGCATTAGGAGAGCGTCAGCTTCTTCTTGCTTTGAACTGTCAACTGCTTTTCCAATGTTTTCAAGTAGTTGTTTGTCAGATACAAAGTAGGTGCACTCAGACTAAACAAGGAGCTTAGGAAAAACAGTCATCACTAGCAAACACTTTTTCAAGGACCTTCTGGAAACCTCAGTGTTTCCATTCCTCAAGAAAGCAATATGAAAATTTCATCAAAGGCTACAAAGTGTTTCCAACTACTACAGGGGAAGGAGCCTAGCAGTGCTGAAATGCAGCAATCTCTTCAACAGAATTTAGGTTACTGGAACAGTTTAGTTTAATACAGTTTGAGTATTCTTCCAAGGCCTTTCAAACTAGACTTTGTCCCTTTTAATAAAAAGTAATGACAATTTAGCCTAAGTATTACCATGAAAGCTCCTGTGACCCCTTTTCCTGAAAGCACTTGGAACTGTCAAATGGAATAAAGCACTGAACCAAAGTTTCAGCAAGAAGACAGAGACAGCACTTAAAAAGACTCATGCTGCAGACACTTTCTGTCAGCTTCCACTGGTGTGATATAATTGGAGTCTGTTTTGTAAACCGCTTGTTCAGAAACAAAGACCAGACTGTAGGAGGAGTCTTTAAAAAGGGCAAATGAAACCTGCACAGAATCCAGCAGGACCCATGTAAGCAGACAAGAGGTGAGTACTTTGAAGATGCCTGATGCTTTTTTTCCTTTGACAGTAAACAGTACTGGGAATGTAACAAAATTCCTACATGTCATGGTTAATAGGCAAAATAAACCAAAGACCATGAGTAAAACGGCAGAAAGGGCAAAATAAACCAAAGACCATGAGTAAAACGGCAGAAAGGGACCGCCCCCATCTGTTCCTTCTCTCCCTTTACACCAGCACTGTCTGAAGCACCATCCCTGGATGCACTTGGCAGAGGCAGGAGGTTCCCCAGTTGTGCACAGCCCTCCTGCTGCTACACCACAGGTCCTCCTGGGCACACTGTGAAGAGCCAGTGTCAGAAGCCACACTCCTGCCAGAGCAGCCAAGAGCTAAAGCATTTATACCCAACTTTCATGCCCTGTACCTCTGCCCAATCAGCCCCATAGTAAGAACAGTGGAAACTGCACTAGCATGATAGTCCAAAGGTTTTGGTGGAAATCCTGTGAGTTCATGGAGCAGTACAAAAAGCCCCACTAAAGGCTGTGCTGAAGTTTCAGAAAAAGAGGCAGCTCAGACATTCCACAGGCAGTGCTTAAGCAGTGCAGAACCAAATTCATTCAAGAAAAAGCAGGCAAAATGCTACCCTTGGATGAGAAAATCAGCTTTTGCATACTCTTTTTCTCAGTCTCTTAGAGAGCATGACACATGCCCATATAGTTGCAGTTTTCCAGCTCTTGCTGAATGACATTCCTTCCTTTGTGCTTATCAGGAAGACAAGATAGCAGAAATTCTGAGCTAACAACAAGGTTACAAGAAGAAAATTATACTGCTGTTTGACGAACTTTTTCATATAGAGCATCTCATTCACAGGTTTCTGATTTACTAAACCTGCAGATACAATCCTTTCATTTTCTGTGTTCATCCAGGCACTCTTCAGGAACATGCCCTTCTCTCCTGAAGAGAACCTACCAGGCATGGCCTCATTAATTCATCTCAATTCAGCACTTGTGAGATCACACCATGAGTGCTGTGTCTTTTTTTTCTCTTGTCTCTCCAGCACAAGAGAGACAATGACACACTGGAGCAAACCCAGGACAGTGGCACCAAGGATGTTCAGAGGGCTAGTGCACCCAACATACAAGGAAAGGCTGCAAGATGGGTTTGCTCAGCTTGAAGAAGGGATGCTCGGGGGATGTGTGTGCAGGGGATTTACTGCTGATTTCAGCTGTGTAATGGGAGGATAGCAAGACTGCGGAAACAGGATTTTCCTTCAAAGGCACACTGTGAAATGGTCACGCAGCAACGGACACAACAGCAACCTTTGCAGATTCCAGGGAGCTGTCAGGAACAGAGCTTTTCACAGTGGGGATTAGGTCAGTCATTGGAACAGGGCCTCTCCATCCCTGCAGATACACATATGTCTCACCTCAACAACGTCCTGAGCAATCTGATCTAATCTGACGTTGGATCTGATACTAAGGCTGGCCCTGTTTAGGACAGAGGGATCAGAGATGTCCACAGGTTCCCTCCAGCATTAAACATTCCATCATTCTGCATCACTGACCAGAACAGCTTCCTTACACAAAGTGAAATAATTCTAACCAAGGAAACTGGGCTTAGCCACAGGAATTAAAATTCAACACCCAGAATAGAGCTTAGAAGAGTATCACAAGAGACTACCTCCTGCTACAGACCAGCAGCTCCTGCTTTCCGCAATGATGCAGATTAAGCAAAAGCAGTGTAGTCAAATGTAACAACCAGCCAACACAACCCTCCATCTGCCCTCACCACCGCAGGTTGAAACACATTTTGGCAACTGCATCTTGCTTTGTCTTTTACTCACATAGAGCTGGGTGCCATAAAAGCATCTGAAAGACAACAGTGGCACAAGGGGACACTACTAACCAAAAGTCTGTTTTTGAGCACAAGGTATTTGCAGACACCAAGTACAGGTATCTCGCAGGACACAGATAAACAATCATTTTAAGAATTGCTTATCTGCTGCTTAAAGAAATAGATCCACAGTGATATTTAGCAAACTGGCCATAAGAGATCTAGTATGATCTGACAGTGAGATTTTCATAGGAAAGTGGTTTTAACAGCCAGAATGTCATTCTTATCAGAAAAATAAGAGTACCAGTCCACACAAGAGAAAATTAAAATTAGAGTGTTCTTTACTGCTGTTAGCCTGAAAACTTGGGGATGCAATATTAGCATAAAAGAAGGTCAATGAGCAAAAGACTTTCAATGCATCATGTAACTTTTATAAAAATACCCTCCGTGGTCTGTATTTATATTCTGCCATGGAGTTTCAGGAAGGTCTATACACAGATGTGCCTGCAGTGACCCTCTGTTACTCTCAAGAAACACTCCCAACCTTTGACGTAAGGAACCTGTTGCGTCAGAAATGCTCTCAGGTAACACAGCATTACAGTTCTGTTAAACAGCTTTTCTCACTCCATGTGCTTCCCTGAAGAGCAGAAGACCTATTTGGAAACATATCCAGATATCAGCAATGACACAGAGCAGCACAAAAGAAATCCCTGTCAGCCAGCCTTGGATTTTGATCACAACGAGCTTCCAGGAGAGCATAATCCAGCTAAGCAGAACCTGGACAAGGAATGATCAAGAAAAGGGCAAGGAGGGAACTGTGAAAAGCACGAAGGGAAATCCACAACTGGAGAGAAACCTTTGGTGAGGAAGGAGAACCAGAAAAGGTAAGACTGCTGGGGAATGGGAGTGAGGGAAAGTGTTTTCTAGAAAAAAAAAGCCAAAACTGACTCAAGAGTGGCCTACCTGGGTGGAAGGCCTCTGGATCGTAGATAGTTCTTTTCCCAAATGAGAAGCACGAGGCCAAAGGACCAAGAGCAACTGGGAACCTCCTACACTGCTGCGGTGATTCAAAACCCTGTGAGCAAGAGGGACATAGAAACCCAGCATCGTTGGGTTGCACTGCCTTGTCACAAAATGAGCATTCACAGGGCATATTGTGTGCATTGCTTCCCCTACCTTCGCCTAAGTCTCCTGCCATCGGTGAGCCAAATATGCCAGACTAACAAAACCAAGATAACCAGACATGGAGGATGTTGTTGGAAGGCGCAGAAAAAGAAAAATGAACCTGAAATGAGGACTGACACTGGGTATCTTAAATGCCAACCCCCCCTTTGGTTACTGTAGTTTCAGTCTGCTAATTATGTACGCAAATGCTGACAGCCAGGCACGAGAAGATAAATGTAGGGAAAAAAAACACTAGATACAGGGATATCCTAAAATCGCTTAAGTTATTTTAACAACAGTTTTGTTACTAAGTTTAGTAGTAAGTTCAGCCATTCATCTGAAATTCCAAAACTCTTTGGGAAAATGGAATCACAAGGAAAAATTCTGATGCACAATTCTAGCACAGTACACTGCCTGTCAGCTCCAGAAAACATCACATATTAGCACAGACAAGAAGGAAAACGGCATTACATAACTCAGTGCATTAGTACTAAAAATGCAAGGACTAATAACTGAGTTTAGATAAATCCCCAATAAACTTAACAACCTCTAAAGAATCTATATAAAGCATGGGCAAAATTTATGAGTTTGAAATGACAATTGTGAAGTTGTTTTTTTTACGATCTACACTTAAAAGAAAAAGCATGAAACTAGCCAATAACTTGTAAACTGAAAAGTTAGTAGAAGGTTTTATACAAATAATGGCTGCATGGATAATGCACACTAAATATGCAAATACATCCCACCCATCCTTCCCCCTGATCTCATCTATCACACTGAAACAACAACATTACCTTTTGGTTAACATTACCTTTAATGTCTCGATGAACAATACCATGTTCGTGTAGTACATTGATAGCAATCGTGATCTGCTTTGAGTACAGTCTAATGACATGCTCCTGAAGGCCCAGTTTTGATACCTCCTCCAGAGTGCCCTCATCACAGTACTCCATGAAGATGTACATTTCTTCCTGTTTTGGAAACCAAACCAGATTTTATTTGGTATAATTTTTTATATTTTAAACACTGAATTAAGATAAAGTTGTCCTTACCTCCTTTATTGTTCATGAACTAAATAATGAAAGTATCATGTAATGTCTTAATGAAAGTTATGACTTACCATGAAATATCTAATAAATCATCTCTTCAGAACTCTATTCTCTCTAGCATGCTGCAACCTAACATGTTCCATTGCACAGCTATGGAAAGTCTCTGCAACATGCCTATCTCCATCATTTGTACATAATTGATACTATTTGGTGGTATGAAAATACAGTGTGCTTTGGTATCAACCAAAAGACACTTTGGAAACCTTGCAGGTGTATTACACAGAAATTTATAGAGATTCTTTTCTTATTTAGAGAAGGGAAAAAAGAAAGGGGGAAAAAAAAATGTTTTGGGCTTATTTTTTATCCCTTCTCTCTGTCTCAGTTCCTGCTGTAATCCTGTTTTGATTGCTTGGAATGGGCAAGTTTTTTGTTCTTTGCTGTGGCTTGAGCAAGCATGCCAACTATTATCTTCAAGGAAAAATTAGGTTTCTGCTCCCACTCTGTCTCCAAGCCCAGCTGATTTCAGACAGACTGAATTAATATAAAAAGATGGCAAAGACACCAAGTTCTTAGAAACTAGTCTGAGAAATCAATGACACAGTGGCACAGACACCCAAATTTGTGTCCAAATAAAGAACTGCAGAAAGTATGTTCCCTTCTAAATCAGCATTAAGTCATCAAAACAACTTATTGCATATTGAGGAAATCAATCAAATCCAAGCAGAACTTTCCAGCAAGACATCAGGACTTGAGACTCACAAGTGGGAAGAGCATGTGGAAAGCAGAGAGTAATAAAAAATTTGGTATCTCAGCACACAACTCTGGAATCCAACTCCGTAGAAAAATACATTACATTAGTTCTGCTGCTCAAGCAAGAAAATTTGTTTTTTCCCTCTGTAGAGATGCTAGCCAAATTCCAATACTTGTCTGGCATCAAGATTTGAATGCCAGCAAAGATTTTTCCAGGAATCAACATGATACAAGTACAACAGGGACAGGTTTTAGCCTGTCTTGTCTTTATCTACATACAGAAGTTACCATACCATATATGATATAACTTGCCTTTAGACCAGTTCAGCATAAAATAGCTCCAGCATTACTCACTCTATTCACTTATTTTAAGCCTTCTCTGTTTATGTGCCAGCTCCAAAAAGTCCCACCAAACTATGTTACAGAGATCTCGATATCCAGAGGAAAAAAGTCACACTGCTATTCACAGAGATAACCAGATAAGATTAACTAGAATGTTCTCATGTAAAAACCTCCAATAATGCAAAGCTTCTTAAAATTTTCTCTTTGCCTTATAAAAAAGCTCAAATAATTTATGTTTTCTTACCCTGTGGAGCTCCACACCAAAATAACGAACCAGATTAGGGTGTTTGATGCCTTCAAAGATCTTCAGTTCATCAGCTGTTTCTTTGATGGTTTTGTGATCATTAGGTTGAAACCTTATCTGCAAGATAGATTTGTCATTATTTTGCTGCTATCTCAAAATAAGGAACAAAGAGCAAACCTAAACCATCCTAAACTCAAACATAACAAAAATCTTTGTTGTTGTTGTTGTTAAATAGCACCATCACACAAAAAGATCCAAAATACCTCTCTCCATCCCCAAACTGAAACAAATAAAGCATCCTAAGCTATTTCTCTGCAGGGGAATACAGTGTTCTTAACCAGTTCCAAAAAAAAAAAATAAAAAAAAATCAATAAATCTATCTTCTCCCAAGTTATTCTTAAAGAAATCCAGAAAAGCCTTTTATTTGGAAGTTGCAAACAATTTTCATTCAAGCCTAGTGAAACAAACATCTGTCAAACAAGATCTATTTATGAGATTACTTCAGCTTCTGCTAAAGAGCACACACATGCTAACCTGTAAACAGCACCTGCATCTAGAAAGCAACTGTGAATTACAGAAACAGAGTGCAACTGATGGGGAGAGGAAATATTGAGGAAAAAACAAAGGCAACAAAATCTCAGGTGTTGGTATTAGTCAGTGACTGAGTATGGTACAAGAAGTTAAGCACAAGCCCAGTCTTGCTTTTTACACCTTGGAGATCACATACATATTGTGTGTGTGTAAGAACTGGGTCAAAATGTAACCACTGCAGCATCCAATGGCTGTCAGAGTAACTGCTGTGAATACAAGGTGTTGTAGGGGAAACAGATCTCTATGCCAACACAGCTTTACTTACTTCTATCCTGAAAACTAGATCTTTTGTACCCACCAAGTTAACAAGCAGTTTTGTGACTCAACCTAGCTCACACTACAGGAGAAGCTGAAAAACATCTGATGTCACACTTCCTATCTTTTGCTCTAAGGAATGAAGAAAAAAAGTAATAAAATGTGAGAGGAAACAGTGCAAAGTGAACTACAAATTTGTGTACAGTCTTCACTAATCCTTAAAAATTATTTTAAATCTCCTAATGGAAGTTCACATGTATTAAGCATTCATTTAAATTCACAACCATCCTATGAGATCAGTTAAAAAACACATTATCCATTTTACATACATTTACATTGAAAGTTATAAACCAAGAAGCAACATGAGGAGAAAGTGCTAACAGCAGCTGTGGCTACATGAAGAAACAACTTGTCTTCCCTGTTAGCTAACAGCAGCGTGCAGAAACCCTCAATGCCTCCTACATCACCTGCACTTGGTTTAGGGAAATCACAAGGACAGCAGTGATTTTTGCATTCACAGTACTCACTTCCTTCATAGCCATCAGCTCTCCGGTGTCAACACTGATACAGGTATAGACCTTCCCATACTGGCCTTCACCTGCAAAGTTAGAGTAAGGAAAATTCAGTACACAACCTTCAAAAAGCAACAAGTACATCAACTGCAATGAGGAAACGTCACTGCTTTTCACCCTTCCTTTAATTTAAAACTCCAGTAGCTTTTAACTGTACCAATACCACATTCATAGCCCTAAATTCAAGCTGAATCAAAGTAAAAACATTAATCGTTTGACCTGAAAGAAAACTTCTCAAGAACGAAGATTTTCCACCAAAATCCCAAACCAGAGCGTAAAATATGATCATACGGGGAAAACAGTAAGATTGGTGAATTAAATCCCAGAGTTCCAACTAATTTCCATTCATATTTCTGGTTCTTCCAAATTCAGAACTTGAACATTTTACAGGGTTAAGCACATGCAGGTAACACAAGATCATACCTAAGTAATCATACTAACCAAATCCTTCTCCTTGTTTCCTGTTATTTGACCAGTGAAAACTTTAGTGACCCTCTACCCTTAAGAAAATCCTAGCCACAACAGTATTTTGTATTCTATCATTTTGATTTCAGTAGAGCTGATAATACCTATGCAGAGACTGAAGATTTTTAAAGTCAGTTTTCTATTTCCTTCACAAATACTGTTTGGTAGTTCAGCTAGATAAAGGAAAGTATAAAGAACATACCAATTTTGTTTCCTCTCTGCCACTTGAAAGTCACTTTTCTCAAACCTACATGCATGACATTATCGTAAGATTTCGGTGTATCACAAACTTGGCCAATGATGTTCTTCCTTCTCATCTCTCTGTATCTCCTTTCTTCAAACAACTGAACAGACTTTTGAACAGCTTCCATCGGGGCTTGCTTGGAAGCAGTGTCTAAAAAGAGTGATGAACAATTTTCTTGATTGAGAAATATTCACTGTTGTATTTTGTTATCACATGAAGTAACCAGAGTTAAAAGAAAACAATTTTTTGAGTCTAATTAAGATGCAGGAAAAGAATAAGACATTTTAACAATCACTTATGAATACAAATACATACAAAACTGAGGTAAAATGAGAACAGTGGTACTTCCCTAATCATCTCTTACTTGATTCAAGGAAATCACATTTATGAAACGCAAGACACTTGTTTGCATTTGACCTGTAAGTAACCTCTGATAGCAGAAATATGTTAGGGTCATAAAAGCACTAAGGGAAAGAAGGACAGGTAAGTTTCGGTTCTTCAGAAATATGACAGGTTTCCTGGAATCTTTTGGCATCTGTTATTTCAAAGATTCAGACATATTAGAAATTCCAGCTCTCAAGTCTTATCACGAAACAGTATCCTAGTGAGTGAGACCAAAGAGATCCTCAGGGCAGTCTTAGCTCATCCCGTCATAATAAAGCACAAAAAATCATGCATGTCACTGTTGACACCAGTTGCCTAACCTGTTCCTGGCAGACTCCAAAGCATGGAGATGATACTCCCAAACCATATATTCTACTCCCCTACCCATAATTAATACTACTTCCTCTATAGTAAATATCCCTTGCTGTAGTTTTAAACCAAAATCTTTGTCCTATTCACAGTGGACAGTAAAACCAGTTCCCATTACAGCAATCTTCTAGAAATTTTCAAGTTTTCCCTCATCCTTTTTTTTTTGGTTTAAACAAACTGCAATTCCTTCAGTATTTATGTTCTGACTTCTAGATTTCAAAACAAGAATTTGCAATTCTTCCTGTGTTCTGTGACACATAAGGAGACAAGTTTCCAATTTGACAGAAATGTTTTTCTCATGTTTCATGAGGTTCTACCCTCATAGTCATGTTTGCCACAATACATGCAAACAAGCTTCATGTATGAATCTGTATAGTACGGAGTGTCCAAAGTAATCAACTTACTTTCAGTTGCATGAAAATCAGTAGATCAGTAGTAAGACTGAGAGGAAGGGGCCCCACAATAGCCTTAAATTTAGGAAACAGTGTGGAATCACACACTATTGGGCACCCAAAGAGAGATCTTGGGAAGTGAGGAAGTGCTTCCTACTGCCATAATTGGGCACTGAGTAGGGACAGATAACTTCTGCAATTTCTATATAGTAACAAATGAACTCATTTTTGTAGAATACTGGTAGTACCTTTCAGAAACTGAAAAGAATTAACTCTTATAAAGTTTAATTACTCCCACTTCAAAAAGTACACCTTGTGATTCTGTTAGCAGTATCCCATACCTGCAGACAGGGTTTTATTGTTTTCTCCTTCCTATGTATAAAGCTGTGAAAATCTCTTCACAGCCCCCAGTAAAATCCAGCCTTTCAGTACAGCACTGGTACAAAAGACATTACATCACAGTGACTCCTAAACACCTACCTTTGGTCTGGTTGATTAACGTTCTGAGCTCCCAGCTCCGCCGGGATGAACCAATGGAATCTCCTTTTGGATACAACGGCTCTAGAGAAATAACAGTGTGAGCACAAAAGTAGGTTTATCTCATATTAAGCATTATGCCACTATTTTCAGCAGAAGCTGAGATCTTACATATAGGGCTAACACACCCCACATGTATAGCAACATATGCTCTTGAAATCAAAATTGACTTCTCTTCAGAAAACAAATTATAAAACAGAATTTCATTTATACAGAAACAGAGATCTTCTTCCACAGCTTCAGGAAGCACTTCAAGCCAGGACACTCAGAGTCAAATATGCAAGATATCTGTAGGAAAACAATTTTCTAAGGTTCCTTAGAAAAAGATCTGTACTCATTCCAACCTAAGCCAGCTTCCTTCTCATATAGGTACCAAAAAAAAAATGGAATAAGCATAAGGCATATGATATTTTCAACATTTGCTTAAAAACCAACAAAAATTAGAAACATCTCTCGCACCTTTTAATATAAATTTTTAAGGCATTTCTCTCTAAGAAATCCAATGTGGATGGCCATAATATCAACTCTAATTTGCTTCAGATTTTGCACTTCCTTTTAATTGGTACAATCAATCTTTCGAGGTATTTGTTGTAATAAATACCACATATACAGAGGCTGGGGAAACCTGAAGAAGCAGCCCTGATCAGGACATCAAGTCAAACATCCTGTCCCTTCTTCCAGGATTCAAACAACAGCAAGTATCTATAATAGGAATACTGCAGGCATAAAGAACTGGACAGAAAACACTGTCCTGATGGATCCAGTTTATACCTCATTAATGGTGTTTCAAAATTTACTATCAAATGGGGTATATAATTCAGAAATCACATTACTAATTTCATTTTGAACACTGGAACTCAGTAAAGCACCAGGAAATCGCTTCAGATACAATTGAGAAACAATATGAAAGGCAAGAGAATAGTGGATATATCTGAGAACAAAAGGACTTCCTCTGACCATATAAGCCCACAAGTTAAAAATCTAGTATTTTTGAATGCGACGAGGTGAAAAAAATTTTTGGAAAGGGTAAGAACTGGGAACAGAGAGAAATATGTTAATGACATAAAGCATCTGCAAATCCAGGTCATAATTTGTTACTGTGACAATCACCTTCTCGCTCTTCAGTGGGACTGGAGTGACGACTAAGGGATCTGAACTGCAACTCAGCTGCTATTGAAGCAAGTCGATCATTTTCAGGGACACTGGAACCCCTGTTAAAAAGAGCCATCATACTAATAAACTTTCCGTTAGTATTTATTCAGTGCAATGCTAATTTAACTGCAGTTTTTAAGAGACAGAACCTCTGAAGCCCAGGATATGAACCATGAAAGCAACATGAAAGAAAAACTGATGCTGAAAGGTAAACAGAAAACTCTTTCTGTGCTCTTTTTCCCCCAAATTAAGACTTTTTAGATTATTTTAGTTATGCTGCTCTATGAAAAAGCCCTAAGCTTCCAAAGCATAAACTACTTCAAACTGTTTCTTGCCCATACCGACTTGTACCTACTACTGCATGACTTGTAGCCTACTACTAAAACAGCTGCTGCAGGATGCAGCTTGTGCCAGAGCTGAAAATACAATCAGAAGTGATTCAGCTGGGTGATAATGTGAGCCACATACTCAGATGAAAGGTAGTAACTGAATTCATATGTGCCTAGTGCACTGCAAGTACAGTCATAGTCCATAGTCATTAAGTCAGAATTAGTGGAAAGAAACATAAGCTGGTTGACAGGAAGGACGCTGTTAAATGATAGCAGCCTGACTGCTTAGAGGCCCCAGTTCTTCTGGACAGCACAGAGTGGAACCAGATGCATCAGTAAGAGCCAGATTTACAAGAATGCTGAACAGAAAGGAAAACAGTATTAAGAGAAACAAGACTTAAATTCTTAGGTCTTCAGGCACCTTCCTCCAGCCCCAGACAACAATTAGTCCACTCATTTTAGAGCCATAAATTCCTTGCAGAAGTCTTTCTACCTCTTTGAAAAAGGCTCCCCTTCCATTTCTCAAGTTTGATGGGGAAGAATGGTGACTGATGTCTCCTTAAACATAATGCTTCAGGGGTATGAGCTAAATGTTACTGAAAAGTGGGCAGCATTGTTAAACCCTTCACTGAAAGCTAACGACTACAAAAAGATGAAAGACATCTTGCATCACAATGTGTACACGCACCTATGAGAGGACTACCAGTGCTATGGTTGTTTCCAAACTGTACCTGAATATTACCTAAAACTAGGGGGAAAAAAAAAAAGACACCACAACAACCTTGAGAACAGAAGTCAAAATAACCTATTTCCATGCTGATGTTCTCCATACGATGTTTGCTTTGCATTGCCTACTATTGCCCAACCAGATTTTTTAAGTTTGAGCAGGAACTGAAACTAGTGAAAATCCTCATTCTTCAGGAAGTTGAGGTTTTAATGAGCAAGAAGGCTAAGGTGGTTCTCAGCATATAAAGAGCAACAACTCCTGATGTACAAAATGCTTAAAAACAAGCAAAACTACACCACCTCTAAAATGAGGCAGCAGCTGAACAGGCCTAAACACCATAGCTCTGAATGCAGGTGCCTAAGGCCCATTTCAGGCCCATCTTAGGGACCCACACCTTTTATTGATCCAGAAAGTCCGTACGTATATTATTAGGCAAAAAATCATAGTGAAGGAGAAGAGTGCTTGATAATTCAACCCTAGATAAAATACCAAAATGATGAATAATAACCACAGATAGCTCAAAAACTGGCCATTTATAAAGGTTATAAACATAAACCTAGCATAAATGTATCAATTTCAGAAAGCTCAATGTAAACAACCAGGTATTTGTGCTTTGGATTTTAGTTTCTAGTTATACTATATTGGGTTCTTTTTTTCTTTTGATTGTTGTTCTTAAGAAATACTTGACTAGAACTATGGTGGCATTTGTGCACTATGCACTGCCTAGTACAGTTGATTGACCAAGTTCCTACATTCAACTTTTCATAGATACTTAATGCTTATAATCATGTCTTAAATGTCTAAAGAGTTTCTGGAAAGCATATAAAGTTTTTCTCTTTGCGCTACTTTGGCGCTGGACTCCACGTTTTGCCAAACCACAAAACACTTCATTGATCCAAAAGATTCCATTTCTCTTCTGGAACACAAATAAACAAAATTCATAATTAAGACAATGCAACAAAGTTTGCAACTTTCTTTCAACTATGCTAAACCAAAAAAATTGTAGAAATATATTATATTGTAGTATTTTGCCTTCCTCAATAAACAAAACCCCTAAAAAAACCCCAGCAGCCTTCAGAACTCTGTCTCTGCTTTCATAATTTTTTCTTCAAATTATTCCTACCTCATACAGGGTATTAAATGCTACTTAAAAATCCAGAAAGTGCATTAAAATAAGCAAGATCATGGGATATTTTATGAACAGCCATCAGAAAAATGGTTTAAAAAAAAAAGCTGAGAACTCTAAGAAAAACACAAGTCTTTGAAAAACACTAATTATCCATCCCCCTGTCAGCTTATAATGCTGCCAGAACCTCTCAGTGAAAATTCTCTAGAATGTTCCTTACTTCAAAGGGCTATTCAAATGGAGCAGACTACTGCCTACTGTCTTTTTCATGAGGAGGCTTAAAACAGGCACAAAGGATAAATAATGTCTATGTCTGAATGACAAAAATTTCAAGATGTATTTTCACCCAAAAAAAGGCCTAGATTCATAAGCTATACATCTGGAGGCTACTGTAAAAGACGCAAGTCACATCTTGCAGTAAAAATAAACTGAAAAGACTTGCAGAAAAGGTTGCTTATAAAAAGTGGCAATTTACTTCTCTCTTAACAGCTTCATGCATGCTTGTGCCATGCATCTGAAAACAAATCCAACTATGATGGTGTGCTGGCTCACAACCAAAAATTATTTATTACAAAAACAATTCATAAACAAGTTATATGCAAGTTTACTTTGGTCACCATCAATCTATTGTTCCTTCACCACCTCTTTTTTTCTCTACCAGCTGTGTGATGTAGTCAGATACGTGTAGCCATTTATGTGAAGCCCAAGAACTATAAGTACTCTGCAGTAGAAATAAGAATCCAAAAAGCTATTTTTAAACCCTAAGGCAATACCACTGTGTTACGAACAGGCTTTTCAGAGTCAGGGGTGCAGGGCAAAAAAAAAGGTAAAATAAAGTTGGGAGATATGTCAGTGCTCTGACTATAATATGGGGAGAAGAAATACCAACAGTCTGAAATTACAGTAGCCAAATCAAAGGTCAAAAAACAGGAAAGATACTAACATAAGTCTGTTAAAAAAATAGTCACTTGTGATGATACAGAAGAAGTTTCTGTTACATATCCTGATACAAGAATAGTGTCTCTCATATTAAATTTATTCTTCACCACCCTAAGAAGAAAAAGGTGTAGCAAGAAATTATTTTTAAAAATCCTCACGTGTTTAATTTTGCCTTTGCCACTATATAGTATTTCAAAATATTTATGACAGATGACAACAATACCAAAACTGTTAGCTAACATGAAAAAAAAATGAAAATCCTCGTGCTTAGTTGTATCGTGCAGTTATCTCAGTGGAAGTGATTCTATGACTCTAAGTGTTAGTTATCAGTACTAATTATTTACTAAAGTTATACCAGTGACCTGACTGGCGTATGTTCATTGCATGGACATTCTACTGAGCAAATCTGTAATCTACGCCAGAAGCGCAAGATTTAACTACCACAGTGTTCAGGCATTTTGAATCTGGAAGTGATCTCATCATCAATTTCTAAGACACGTGATTTTGCTCAAGTCGAACATGAATGAAGGAGCCAGTGGAGGACACGATGGGAGGGAAAGGCGGCGGTGCGAGCGATCTATTAGGATGTACGTGGGAACAGTTATGTGGGTGATGTAGGGAGGATGAGTCTGCTACGTCACGGAGCGCAGCTACCTGGTCTCATTTGCACTGCTGAGAGGTTTGGGCTGGGCTGAGTCGCTCCCGACGGGAGCGGGGCGACTCCCAGCAACACTGCCATGGCTCCGCGCATCGCAAGGGACACTCCGCGTGCTGTGGCAAGAAGAAAAACTTCAGGAAACAGTTTAAAAAAAAAGTATGGAGTTGAAAGTTTGTTTCAGAAATGAAATACTGAAGTGTGTATAATGATGCCTGATTTCAGAAGTTTTTCAATTACGGAAAGATTTTTATGTGGAATAACTGAGTCTCAGAAGCTTTGCGGCTGCCAATGTATATAATAATAATCCTCAAAATACAAATCTTCAAATCTTTAGAATACTACTAGTTTCTGCCAAAGCCAAGTGACTTCTGAAAAAAAAAGTCAACTGTAGAGTTTCTCATTGTTGCCATATTATTGAAAAATAGGGCCCTCTGTGCAAAATTATGTATGGTGAGGTTTATTTTGACATTTTTTTGAACTACTTTTGCAATAATTCTCATGTCAACTCTTTTAAAGGCGGGGAAAAAAGATCCACTGTTTAAAGCTAATTCACAGCAGGTTGTAATGACGCAGAAATGCCACCATATTTCAGAATGCTACATTTTTAAGTTCCATGTACGTAAATTACAGAAAGCACTGCCACAGGAACTTAGGCACCCATTCAAAGTGTGGAAGGAAATAGAAGTCTTGTTAACGGAGCAGTTTTCACTGAATTAAAGCTTTTTACATTGAAACACTGGTTTCAGGAAAGACAAAGGGGATAATAATAACTTCAAAGTGAGAATGCATGCACCAAGAGAAAGGGGGTGGGCAAACAGCAAGGAAAAGAAATTTGCATTGTCCTTAAAAGCACAGCAATAAAATCTGGATTGCTTACATGCTAATTTTTTCTATCTGCTTTGCCCTCAAAGGGAAAGAAAAGGTGTTCCACTTACTGACATTCAGCATAGCCAAGAGAGGAAAAAACAGTTTAAAATGCTGTAGTAATGCTCAATACCTGAAGCCTTCAGGCGTGGGGATGATGAGATGAGGATTTGGTGGATCACTATGGCACCGAGGCACTTTTACAGGACGGGGACTGTTTCGATGAACAGCTGCAAACATAAAAACAGATCACCTTTACTGAGATGTCGGAAAAACTCTCTTAAGGGCCATTTCAAGACATAAAATTAAACCAAATTCCTATTTACAGAGTTAAGAGTGAACAGGCACATATTTTCTTATCCTTTAAGAAAAATACATATTATTCCAACTTTAAATAAATTAATTGTATGCATTAATGCTTTTCATATTTTTGTATTACTTAACTCATCCATAAAATAATGAAAATTCTTCAGATATTTAAAAACTAGCAATTAGAAAATGTGTACATACTTAATAAAAACTTCATTATTTCTACTTCACAAATTAAACTTATTGCAAAATAAATATTAACTAAATAATAATTAACAAACAAAGCAGCAATATTATGTTCCTTTCCATAAGAATTAAGCTTTCTCAGAGAATAAAGGAAAGCAAATTAAGCTGTGGAAAAAACCCACATATGACTGTTTTACCCAAACTAAACGTCCCCATGACAGTCTGCCCCAAAAAAGTGGCACAAATGGACAGGACAAAACCTAAATGAGTAGTCACTGTCTTTATGTCTAATTCAGTGCCTCCAAGAGCAGTGTGCACCATCTGCCCTGAACTCCTTGTTAAACAGTAAGAAAAATACTGTGGCAGTCACATCTCAAGACAGCTGGTTGCTCACCAAACCATCAGACAGTACTTTCTGCCAGGCTAGGCTCCTCTCAGGTAGCTTCGTTTCTGCCTTGTTTGCACTACCAGGGTAAGCAAAAGATGGCAGGGCCAGGTGCTGGTTGTCCTGCTGTAATTAGCAAATATGCTAGTGGGAGATCCAGAAGGCAGATCCTAACCCACCCAGGCAGACACCAGTTGCTTCACAAGACAGGATAAAACACCAAGAGATACACAGCTATGTGTCTAGAGCGAATGCAACTGGATCCTCAGGTCTGGCAAAAGGGGTAAAGACCACAGTGGGTTTACGTCCTTCAAAGTGGTATGCAAATGGAACGAGGAAGTCTTATTTTTCTTCTGATCAGGAGATAGGAATGGGTATCTGCAATATCTGCAGCCAGGACACAGTTTGTATTAAATTTCACATGCATTAAAGTTTCAGGCTGCTGTTCAAGTCTGCACCGTTCATCTGTGTCACCCCCTCCCCATGCCTCTGAGACAAAAGATGTCGAGCAATTTAGTTTGTGTGATCTGTAGTGTCTGCTATAGCATTTATAAGAGTTTCAGTAATTTGGCATCATCATGCTGGTGATTCACCTAAAACAGGCCTCCCTCTCAACAACAATACTTAAAGTGAATTTACAGGTTTTACACCACTGTACAGAATGTGGCTAAATTTGATTTTAGACTGTGCTTCTTTGACTGACTTTCATTGCAAAATGTTTGTCAGCTGAAGACTTTCTCATCAAAATGATATCAAAACAAGCTTTCCTGACAAACTCCAGAAAACCTCCTCTGCTGGAGGCAGATTGCCCTCCCCTCATGTCTTCTATCATCAAGCCTGCCCAGGACACAGGCACCAGGAGAAAGACAAAAAAGATGACAAAGTATTTTGACAAGTAAACAAGTCAGTGGAGTTGAGAGGAGGAAGACAGAAACAGTGCTAAGAAAGAAATCAGTAAAAGACATACACAGCAGACGAAACATTCTTTTCACAAGATGAATCATCAAATATGTTCATTTCACTCTAATGTTATCAACATCTATATCTAAAAAGATGTATTTTACATTATGCTGTATTTTACATAGAGAACTGTTTTGCACAGCCCTCATGTATAACTCATATGTACTTGATAATATAAAGACCATTAGAAGCAAAAACATCCGCGATGCCAAAGTGTCAATAATTGCCACAATAAAAGTTTGTGAGAGGGAGCTGTAACTGCTTTCTTAAAGTTAGAATCACTTCTTTATCCCATCTTTAAATAACACAACCCTGTCCTATAAGATTTGCAGGCCTTCACAGGAAGGACAAAATCAGAGGAAAAAAATCTGTAAAGCTTTGAAATTTCTTGGGTAGAACTACCACATATTTATACTTTATCAGGCAATAATGGTTTCACATCAACAATACAAACAAAGTATATTGAAAATACTTTTATTGGTATTTCTTGCATTTTAAAATCACTTTACAATCAAAATTCTGTAACAGCAGCAGGAAAGCTCCAGAAAAACGCCAGTAACTACTGCCTTACCAAGGTACAAACCTGTAACAGGACTGTGAGGTTTTCCAATAACATGGCCAATGCACTCATTCATCAGAGCTTGTAAACTCTAGGAAAAACAAACATAAAAAGTTGTGGTGTTTTGTTACAGGAAGGTTGATGGTCACATGACAAAGTTCACAGTAACAAAATTATATTGTTAAAGTACATAATCTATCAGGTAAGCACCCCTATATTCTACCTATTATATTAAACTTCTAGATCCACATTAGCATTTTGATTTTATTTTTTTTAAAGCTAGGAAGTCTTAGTTTTGTCTTGCCTTTAGTCCTTGTCAAAATTACATAACTGTAAGAACTGAACAGTGACATATCATAAAGGAAATTTCAAAATATAAAAGTATTGGAACTTAATATTCATTGTTAATATAATTAAAATCACATTTCCTGGAAAAAGCTGTTAAACCTTCTCTGCTCTCCCCCTCCACCTCCCAAGAAGAAACCAAAAAAAATTGAGTGAGAATATGATGGCCTGAATCTCAAGATGAAAATCCGTAAAACAAAAAATATGAAGCCCCACATATTAAATGAAACACACTTTCCTTATCTACCCATGAAGCTATCAAAATTTTCATTTTTTAAGGGATTTTGAAAGTTAAAATCACTGAACTGGGCCTCAGGCAATCTGTGCCAAGTTATTAGGTGTACTATTCAACAGGTATGTAATCCTGGACAAGATATTAAATCTTCCTCTGGTTCAATTTACATGTCATAACACCAGGGATATAATGTATCTTCACAAAGTAGTACAATTATGCTCTTTGGTAGAGATGCTATGAAGGTGACTTCTATATGCCAGTCACTCAGTGTAGCCAAAAGTTCTTCCAGAAATGCAAAAACTTAGTGAAGACCAGGAACTAAAAGGACTAAGAAAAACCAGAATTATAAAACAAAAGAAGAGTTGAGCTTGAGACCAGCGCATTTTACCAACGCAGACTGAGCTAGAATTTCATCTTGGAATATAGAGCTCTAAATCTAAACCATCATTCTTCCATGACATGATGCAGTATCTAAGAGATCATGATGGGCATTGCCATTTCTAGATAAAATACCGTGACCTGTCCTATACAGATTAATCAAAAGGGCTTCAAGTGATGATCTCCAAAACAGAAATCCAGTTTAAGAAAGAAAAAAGTTCAAAAATGCAATTAAGGTTTTGGGCTCCCCCCTTTCTTTCCCCCTTATTTGTTCAAAGTCTGTTTCAGAAACTGTGTCAAAGCAGAAGAATTTTAGCAGCTACATCCTAAAGCTAAAGTATCAGTGTATTCCAAATACCAGCTTAACTCTGTCATTAAGGCAGCCAACCCTTTCCCAGCAGCACAAATGCAGGACTAACACATAATTTACTAGAGAACTCCTGATAAAAATACACGTGAAAAAAAGACTAAACCAGGTATTTTCTGTATTATGCAAGATTAATGTGGTTGGCATTTCATAACACATCTTGAAACTAGTAAAAATCAAGAGGTGCTGACACTCATATTCTGCTATTTTGTGGCAACTGTGCTTTCACTTCTCTGTAATGTTGTACCAAGATCACAGAAAAAAAATTCTCAGAACAGGAAAAGGAGGAAAGCACAGCAGACAAAAAAAAAGCCAGCTTTAGTATCATTGTTTTTGGGTAATAAAAGCAAAAGAAAGATGCCTTAAAGTATGTTTCATGCTGGAACAATCTGAAAATAAAAATCTTTAAATGATTTTGTATTCATATCCACAGATGAACTTTGGGTGTTGGTTAAGCTTCACAAGCTTACATTTAGAAATTCATTGTATCAACTATAAATATTTGTAGAAAGCTGCTGTCAACCTTCTGTGACACAAAGGGAGGTGGCCTCCCAGGACAGCACCAGTAATTTGTCAGCAAACTGAAACCACTACTGGCAATGGTCACAAATCTACTCTCTTCTGAATCTAATAAGGAGAAGAGATAGCAGCATCAACAGTGATATACAACAGCAATTGTTTCAGAAATGCATCTGTGTTTAGATGTTGTTTTATAAAAAGTATCCCTGCAAAACATATACTCATAGCTTCACAAGCATTTAAAATAAGTACCAGCAGAAAAATTTATCCATACCAAGAAGTCATCTTCTGGGAGAGCTGAAATAAACGCTGGCTCAATGGCTTGAAGAAAATCAAAACCTTGAGTTGCCCATCTATGTAAAAGGAAAAGTAAAGACAGAAAATGAAACAGTCTTTGGCTTAAGTCTTCACCATATCCAAGAACAGTAAATAATAGTTAACTTTTTTCCTTTGTAAAATACGATAAAATCCTCATTAAAAAAACAGACGAATATATAAAACACAAAAATTTTACCTTTTACCCAATTATATTTGGACAAAGACTGATTTTAGCAAGGACACTGCCCACTAAAGATGAGCAGGCCATACTATGTATCTACACCCATATACATGCTATCTTCCACACAGTATTATCAACTCAACCACAATTTGTTTCAGAACAACAAGCCAAACCACTGAAATTATTGCCTGAAGTCTCCTTTCTGAAACAAGACTGAGAGGATACTAAAGATTTCATGACTATCTGATTAGTAATGACTGGGTATCAGTGGTTTTATGGCCTAGACTGGTCAAGTAAGTAACTTGGCAGGAGTGAGTTGTGTCTTCAGCCACCTGCTGTCCCCCACTGCCTCCTCTTTGACCTACTTGAACTAGCAGCTGCAACCTACAAAATATAAACAGAATCACAGGATATCCTGAGTTGGAAGAGGCACACACGGATCACCACAATTGAAATTCTGACTCCACAAAGGACAGCACAGAAGAGCACAGTCCAAACAGTCCTTGAACACCAGCAGGCCTGGGGCCATGACCATTTTCCTGGGGAGCTTTTTCCAGTGCTTGACCACCTCTCAATGAGGAACTTTTTCCTAATACCCAATCAGCAGCTTTATATCATTTCCTCTTGTCCAGTCACAAAAGAGAAGACATGAAGAAATTGCAGATAGCAATTCATTTTCCTCTTCCTTAAGCCCAGCAAACCTAGTATCCTTAATTACTCATTACATCTTGTCCTTTAGTCCTATCACCATCTTTACCGCCCTTCTTTAGACTTACTGCAATATTTTTATGTTCTCCTTAGATTGCAGAGCCCAAAAGTACACAGAGTACAGGCCGCACCAATGCTAAACATGGTGGTACAATCACTCCCTCCAGCTGGTCAGATCTATTGTGCCTAAGGCACCCCAGGATATAGCTGGCCCTTTTCACCACCTGGGCACATCACTGACCCAAAGCTTACAATAAACAAGAATCTCAAGGTCCCTTTCTGAAGGGCTGCACTCCTATCTCTTGGCCTCTGATCTATACGGATACCCAGAGTTACAGCGCTCCAGATGCAAAATCTGGCACTTGCCTTTGTTAAATTTCATAAGGTTGGTTATCATCCAGCCCTCATAATCTATCAAGTTTCCTCTGTACAGTCTCTGTGCCCTTCGGGGAATCAATGTCTCCTAATTTAGCATGGCACACTTAGTATGTACACAACTCCTGTATTCAGGTCACGCATAAAAACATTGAAAAAACCTGGCCCTAAAATTAAGCCCCAAAGAACACCCTAATGACTGACCACCAGCCAGATTTAATTTCAGTTAGTCCAATTTTTTGAGCCCAATACTTCACAGCTCTACCAAAATCTACCATGGCAATAACAAGTTGGCTGTTACCTGGGTCGAGTGCCTCGGCCACTCTCACATTTTGTTAACACATAATTCATCCATTTTCTGGCAAAGTTGATATATTTGTCTCCAATTTTCTGCCTGAATTCTCCAGACATCAGACGAACAACTTCTTTATGGTACTGTAAGAAACTTAAGATTACTTTCCACGTATTAAGAAGAAAAACAACATCCCCTGGAGTATTTGCAAGCTAACAAAACTCAAAAGTATGGTAACAGTCACATCCTATTCTTGGACAAAATTATTTTATGCAAGCAGTTACCTATTTATAGACAAAAAATTCATCAGGAAAAGTATGATACAAAATATGCTACAGTGAGAGGCAGTACTGAGCCACACTGCATTTTTCTGTGTGTATCAGGCACGTGCTGGTGTTTAACAATGTGCACATCATTGAAGAAGCATCCCACATAAACACTTAGTTCTGTAGCCAGAGACTGAACTGCTAAGTAGTGTTTATTTTTAGTTATACTGCAGTAACATTATGGGATAAAAAAGTTATCTATGTGCATTTAAAAATCAAACAAATACCAGCTATTTCTTATAAGACTATCCTAGAAGTACATTAGAGTATGACATAATCCTTAAAAAAATTTTACACAGCCCAGAGGAATCTAATAGCAAAACAATTAAAGGACCTGAACATAACATTTTGAATGCCCACACTCTTAGGCAAGCACTCAAAAGCTTGCACTGCATCAAAGAACCACCACAAACCCTGAAGGAATGTCTCATGTTACATACAGTATTATGCTACTCCAGGCTGAAAAACTGTGAGAAGGTAAGTTAAACCACAGGCTGGTGGATTCACCATCCTGGGAAGTATTAAAAAATGAGTAAATATGGCCCTTTTTGATATGGTTTAGTGAGCACGGTGGGACTCAGCTGAAGGTTGGATTTGTCTTGGAGGTCCTTTCCAACCTTAATGATTCTGATATCATCTAAAATGCTGCCAGGCAGTAGAGCTTACAAGACTATACCTGAAATCATCAAGTTCTTAAAAGCTTTTCAGATTTACAGGCATTTCTAATTTAACAGATTTATCAGATTCATCTGATTCATCAGATTCACTTATTCTCAAGTAAAATTTCTGAGGCAACACATTTTTCATGACGTTCTGCTAAAACTGGGAAGTCACAGTTCACTAGAAATTACCAAATGTGAGGCCCATCTACATGAAGGACTGCAAAGAGGATCCAGAAAACAACAGACCTGTCAGTCTGAAGGTTATGGATCATCTAGTACAGGACGACCAGGAGACTAGGCCCAGCCAGCATGGGTTTGTGAAAAGCAGGCCCTACTTGACTGACCTGATCTTGTTCTATGTGAAGGTGATCCACTTAGCGGATCAGGGAAAGGCCGTGGATGTCATCTATCTATATCTTAGTAAAGCTTTTGACACTGTTTTACATAGCATTCTTCTGCAGAAGTTGGCTGCTCATGGTCTGGGACAGAGGTTCACTGTTTGCTGTGTAAAACACTGGCAGGATGGCCAGGCTTAGGGAGTGGTGGTGAGCAGTGCTACACCCTGTTAGCAGCCAGTCACTTATTGGGGCTCCCCAGCTTTGGGGCCAGTCCTGTTTTATGCCTTTATCAACGATCTGGACTAGGGGATCAACGGCATCCTCAGTAAGTTCACAGATGACACCAAGCTGAGTGGGAGTGTTGATCTGCTGGAGGTCAGGAAAGGATCTGGACAGGCTGGATTGTTGGACCAAGACCAATGGTGTGAGGTTCAACATGATCAAAGTCCAGGTCCTACACCTGGGTCACAACAACCCCATGTAGCACTACAAGCTGGGCGAAGAGTTGTCTGGGGTAAAAAGACTTGAGGGTGCTGGCTGACAAGTGGCTGGATATGATCCAGTGTGTGCCCAGGGGGCCAAGAAGGCCATGGCATCCTGGCTTCTATCAGCAATGGTGTGACCAGCAAGACTGGAGCAGTAATGGTAATGGGCACTGCTGAGGTTGCACCTCAAATACTGTGTTGGGCCCCTCACTACAAAAAAGACTTTGAGGTGTTCCAGCCAGTCCAGGGAAGGGCAACAAAGATGGAGCACAAGCATTGTGAGAGTGGCTCAGGGAGCTGGGGGTGTTTAGCCTAAAGAAAAGGAGGCTCAGGTGCAACCTTATTGTTTTCTACAAAACTATCTGAAATATTATAGAGAGGTGGGTGTCAGCCTTTTCTCCCAAGTAAAAAGTGTTAGGACAAGAGAAAACAGCCTTAAATTTAACCAGGGGAGGTGTAAATTGGATATTAGGAACAATTTCTCATTGGAAGAGTGGTCAGGCATCAGAACAGGCCACAGGAAGGCTGGCAGAGTCCCCATCCCTGGAGGAGGTTATTTAAAAGATATGTAGATGTAGACATGGTTCAGTGTTGGAACTGGTAGTGGCAAGTTAACAGTTGGAACTGATTATCCTAAAGGTCTTTTCCAACCTAAATACCTCAATAGTTTCATAAATTCTTTGTATTTCCACAATCATTAGTTACCTTATTTACACCAATGCAAAACCAGAAATTTCAATTGTTTTTTGTTTCCTTACCTCAAACCCAAAATTATAACCCTGAATCATGGCTTCCCGGTAGTATTGCTGCAAAGTGGCAGATTCAGATTCATCAACTTCAGCATCAAACTCAGATGTGAACATGTGATCAACTCTATCAATGGCACTGCTTATCTTATTGCATAGCTGTAATGCATCGTTCTGAGTAATAACAAAGAGAGATGGAGGACATCAAAATATTACTTAGTCTTGTCAACTGTAGAATATTAGGCAAACATGAATCTAGCAATTACATTATTTTAAATGAAAAGGCACTATAATGCCACAAAAATTCATTCAGTCTTGGAAAAACAAACATTTTCCAGCAGTTGCATGAAGTAAGTCTAGTAATTAACTCAAGTATTATAATGAAGTTTGCTTGCATGTGATTAACTTTAAAAACAAAGACAGCAAAAGGGTGAGTAGAGAACCAACAACAACAAGAAAACCACACAACACAAACAAGAATATCCAACCAAAACCAGACAGACAAGAAAGGAGAAAATTAATTCTACTATCTATAGAGTGACCAAGCCTTTGGTTCTATTTTCACCTTGGTATATGGACACAGTCTCTATTGAATGCAGGGACTTGATACTGCCACTTAAAGCCCAACAAACAAACAAACCAAACCCATCAAAGAAAACACTCATAAAACGAAATCAAAACAAAAACAAAACAACCACACCACACACATAAAACAAACAAATAAAGGTTTAAAAACCCACACCAAATCTAAGAAAAATAAACAGAGAGACTACCCACTTTTGCATTTTCAAATATAGGAATAAAAGTTGTTTGTTGCAGATCACTGATTTTGACAGAACTTGGTTTTAGAAAATCATACAATACAATATTGCTGCCACCCAAAGAGGTATTCACTCTGTTGCTATGGTATTTCAACTGCATTATGGACTTGTTTTCCAATTACCCAATGCAGAAATGATTACACCAATATAGCTCAAAAATGTGCTCACAAGTCATTTGAGAAAACAGAGTGGAAATTGTACAGAAAGTAAAGTGCACAGAGGACTACCACATAACTTACAATTGCAGAATATGCCATTAGCTTTGCAATCAAGCTTTCTTCCACTTTTTTACTATCAGTGAGCAAAGCATCATCAGTTTTGATAAATTATCTCCAAACCTGCTTACCTTTAGCTGCTGTAGAGCTTTGGCAATGATTGGTTGGCTGGATGTCTGCTCCTGGTGCAGAGATATGAGCCCTTCAATAGACTGCTGGAAAGCCTTTCTCTGACTCACAAGGTGGGCAGACTGAATGACTACAAGGAGGAGGTTATCAACCTAGAACACAAGACACCACTACTTCTTGTAAAGAAAATTCTCTCTGTAAAAATATATCAAATATCACCAGATTCCAATCAGTTATTTTTTGAATTCTAATACATGAAAGACCTCTTGTCACTATTCATGAAAATCTACATTCACACAAAAAAGAACTTGGCAGCTAAACTCAAACTCTCATCTAGTGAGCAAAGTTCCATAAAGAAAGTTTTCATGAGGAATATGGTTCTGTTTACTTCTGGAAAATATTGGAAACACTGTATTAAATTATCTTCAGATTAGCTACACACAAAAAAAGCAATAGGTAAGCAAAAATAATTACATTATCTCAAAGCAGACAGAAATTTGCAACCATTTGCAAACTGATTCTCATCTATTGCTATTTTCATTTTCTGAATGAAATACTAACTTTGATAGACATCTGAAGAAGTTCTAAGCACTTAATCAAAGGTTGTTTTTTTACTGTTCAGTTGGAACAACAGGCAAACAAGAAACAACATGTTTGCACATTAAAAACAGCAGTATGTAGAGGAGTGACTTTTTCAACTGCATTTAACTGCTAGAACCTTCTGAATGCCAAAGGTCAGGCACAGTGATGCAGAAAGTCACTCTCTTTGCGGACAGTACAGCCCATTTATGGTAGGGATCCAAGGAACTGCATGACATACCAAAAGGAAAATTCATATAGCTTAACATTAAGGATATGAGAACATGAGGGGCAGGGAGCTGGCTCAGCTGTCAGAGTGCAGCAGAACTGCTGGCAGGGAAACTCTGTTGGCTTGGGAAGAAGGAAAGTATGACTGGAAACACTTTTTCTTGCAGAACTGTTAACATCCAGTAACTTCCTGAAAAATTTAACACAAAATGTCACAATTCATCTAAGATCAAGAGTAACTGGTTTCATGCTTCAGCGTGTGGAAAGCACACAACCATTGCATGTTCTCGGAGACTGATGACTTCTTAATAAAATGTTCAGTTTTCAAGTCTTACCTGCACTTCTGAATACTCAACTAAATGCTAAAGGTATCTCTATTATACAAGTACAACTCTGAAAAAGGCACATTTGTAGAGACTGATCCTGTCAGGAAATGCTACAGTCCATTTAATATTTGCATTTAGCACATCTAAGAATCAAACTTATTCCTAAATTTAACTTTTTATTACCTATAAAAAGACACATGCTTCAATTAAATGACTCCAGTTAATCTGACAGAATAAGCAGAATTCACAGACGTGTGGAGATGACAAACAGTGGGGGAAGAAGACCAAACCCACCTGCATGGTGCGCAGCGTATCAGCAGTTTCTACTTGTGGCACTACTTTGACCGGCTGACCCTCCCATGCACTCCAGCTGTCGTCTAATTCATGGTCTTTGTCACTGTGTTTGGTCATTAGCAAGTAGGCCTCATATGTAAGCTCATCTGAATCCTTGGAGCAATCCTTCCCAGCAGCTGCATTGAGGAGTTGCAAAATCACAGACTTCTCCCCTGCAATACTACCTGGCACAAATACTTGCAAACTCTCAAGTCCAGGAACTTGTACCTGCAGAGAAGAAACACACTGAGTGAGTGAATCCCACTGTCTTTTATGACAAATAAATAGTAGGTGACAAATAAAATAGGTCATATTGTTTAAGCAACAGGAAGAAGCCCCATCCTAAAAAGTTGTACAATATACATACTAAAACAGTACCTTCAGCTATTTTTGCATTGAAAGTCAAAATGAATTATAAATTATTTGTTTTGAAATCCACTGGATCACCATTTTTAGTGAATTACTTCTGTGTATTTCAAGTTAATCCTTATTTATATTCTTCTAAAGGAATCTTGTTACAAAAGAAGTCCAGTTTCACATATATACTACATATGTATGCATACATGAGAATAAAATACATATACACATATTTTAAAAAGTCAGTCAACAAAGAGTGGCGTATCAAAAGAAAAATTCCTTCCGAATTTATACATTTCTGAATGACTACAGAAGAAAAAGAGTAAACAAAAGTCTGTCTAAAATAAAGTATCAGTTATTCTTCTACTTTCATAAAAGCTAGATTAAGTCCAGTTAGAGCATTCTCTTTTAATAAAATATTACTGCTACTACTTAAAAACTACTTCCAATTATATCTGTCATATTGGTAGCAGTACTTCAGCCATCAGCAGCATCAACAGCAGACTGTGAAAACAGTAAAATAGCCAGTATCTTGACTTGACACGAGGTAATTGACTCACGGTGGAGTCAAATTCTCTCTTTACAGAGTGTGATGTCATTGAGCTAAGACAAAACACTGCACTCAGCACTTCTACCATTAGGCAGACATATTTTATAACTAAAGCTATTATAATCTGTAGGCCAATACAAAATACTAGATGGCTGTTACTAAAAGCTAAATTAGATTCCCTAATGAGCATCTGCCTGAAAAGGTTGTTAAACATTTAAGGTCCCTACATGATATTAGAGGGCCAGTATATAAAATGTTCATTATCAAAATGTGTGTCATTTAATCCACGTATAACAGATGTGTGAAACTCAAGACACAATTTTTTTCTACAAAAAATGTACCAAAGATACAATCTTTAAAAGGTCTACTAAAACTAATATGGTGTCTTGAAGCATCTTAGACTACATACTTGAGGGACAATATTTTTTTTAAGTAAATACATACAGATTTCCCTGGCTGTTTTCCAACTCAAACACTCCACAGATCTGGGCTCTGCTGAGCCAGTTGTTTTATCCATGTATTTACAATGCTTTATGAACTTCTCTCCTATGAACTTGTTTGTGCCCCTCTAAATGAATTTCAGTATTTAGCAAACATTTACATAAATCTAACAAGAATTATGTCATGAAAACATTAGTGCATTATTTCCCAACTGTAAATTATATACATATATATATATGAAAAATATGGAAGGACAAAAAAGAACAGCAGATCCAAATACATTTGATCTGTTGAAGCAAACAACTTGCTCAAACTACAAAAAAGACTTGTTGACCTAGGAATTTTTTAAGGAATTTTGCAAAACCACAAATGTGGGACTTTACATTTCAGTAAATATAGAACACCAAGAACTTAACTTACCTTTGCTGTATAACAGTTTCCTAGCTACAGTTACTCTGGAACAGAACAGAGGCCTTGACTTTCTCATGTCCTTAGTACTCTCCAAGAATCTTGCTAAAACAGACCTCCACTATAATACTGCTCCTTTATATAAGCATAACACAGGTCTATAGTCTGAGATTATCTACTCAAACATGTATCTATTTTCCTTATAGATTTGAAAGCATTTGTTTCATAGCACTAAGTGTTATTAAACAGAAAGGTTCTTCCTTGGTCACAAAGAGAATCTTTGGAAAAATAAGGAAATAAATCACTGATTTCCCGAAATGTAGACAAGCATTCTCACTTATACAAACGACAAATACAAAATTTGACTACCACAACTCAGTATTAAGTACAGAGCACTTTACATGTTGAAATATAGATGTCCCATTAAAAAAAAACTAAAGCATGACAATATTTGACATTTTGCTTAATATACTCAGTTCACTTTCATGCCTCTAAAACTTATCACCTATGTGAATTTACCTTCACATAATCTTTTGTTTTCAGAGCATTCAGAAGATCTCGCACTGGGGCTGACAATGCAAATTCTGCTGCTATTTCAAGGTCCTGCAAATAATGATAAAACAAAAGAATATGCTTTCAGACCAAATTTCTTTGAAGTATATAAATAAGAGAAGACTCTGTTAACTTACCTTCCTCAGCATTTTAGCAAAACCAAGAGCTTTGGAGGCCCTTTCTCTAGCTTCATGGAACAGTTCTTTCAGTGCTCGACTGGTCTCTATAACAGACCTCCTGAAACATTGGCAGAAATGAAATGACAACATTCCAATAAATCATATTACACTTACACAGCCATTAGAAAATAATTATTCACATACATGTTAGTAAAAAGAACACAAATATTTGCAAGCAGCTGACAAATAAATTGAACTGACAAACAACCTCTCATAGCCTGAACTGAAGAGATGGTTACTAGGCTTCAAAAAAACAAAATGATGCTTCACTACTCACACAGAACACAGAAATACAGTGATACAGTCTATGGAGCCTTGCATTTACCAAGTTTGCATTCTAAGGAATAAAATACATTGTGCATCTGTCAGAGGTAGAGAAACATATGTAAGCATTTTGTTATTATTAAGACAAAAGTTTTAATACCTGATTTCATCCGATGCAGTGCTGTCATCGGCACTGGCCCAAAATTCATCACAACTGTCTTGTAGTCCAGAATCTAAAAA